ACGAACCCGTGCCGAACACAGACCTCGAATACAACATGGACCGTAAAAATTAAACAGTTCTCAGCTGCGGTGTCGGTTGTATGCAACGTTGCCGCAACGTGCGATTTGTCCCTAACGATGCCTACTTTACAAGAAATGTAAACGTCAACCACGTTATCTAAAAACCACGATCCCTACCGGTGGAAATGGGAACTTGCTGGTTGCTCGACGCAGCGGTTACCGGCCTAATGAAACGAAACGTATAGACGAGTGCTGCCGGAAACCACTTTTTTCCACCTGGAAAAACTCACTGCGTAACTACGTCCCCTCGTATATGTGCGTGCCTCGTCCATATTGAGGCAGTGTCGTTGCAAACCGCGAAACCACGATATTTCACAGGAAAATATGAATGAAAAAAGTTACTGCTACAGATAAGAGTATATACGTACGCAATAACAATGTAGCCAACAAAATTAATAAACCCGAGGTTGATAGATATTCAACAACTAATGAAAATCCTGATAATGCGGTAAATAATTCATTATTTTATAATCACTTTAATGGATTTTTTTTAAATCAACTAATGTTCATAATTTTGAAAATTTCTATTAAAATTCGTTCGATTTTTTTTTACGAAAAAAGTTACTTGATTGAATTTATTTAATTTGACCAAACACAATTGTGAAAGGGGGCACTCTATTCATATTTAACTATTTAACCAAAGATTTTGACAGTTTTTAGATTTAGTTATGGGATATTGTACACGAAATATGTTTATAACTTTTTTCGGACGCCACTGGCGAACACACAAGGACTAATTGGCGAAGCACTGAGTCGGGGGTCCAACTGATTTAACAATTTTTAGTCAGCGAGCCCAGCAAGCGTAGTTCCGGTAGGCGGCATATAATATGGCCGCCGTCGGTGGCGAACAAAAGAGTTGCAAGTAAAACAACTGAAAAGGAGACGATATTCGATACGATTTCGCCGTTTTTAAGGTTAAATTGTAATAGAAGATGGACGTTTGAATGCAACTTTAATTTTTGTTTTCGATGATTCTCGATTCGAATTAAAAAAACATGTGGAAAAGGTAGTTAGTAAACAACTATACAAAGGATTTTCTTCAATCATTTTTGAGTTTGATTTCACTCTATAGTGTAATCTGAAGAAGAAGAATTTTTATTTTATTAACCACATATTGTACAATAATAATACAATTGCGGCCTGTCAATATAAGGTAAAATACAAAAGTAAAAAGTGTAAAGATGTAGTGAACAATAACAAATATAAAGGTCAACCACACTAATACGGAGTATAAAAATCGTACACTAAGTCAAGGATTTTGATTTAGTTTTTTTATTTTGATGGAATACTCGTCCACACTATAGAAACAATTTTCAATAAGCAACACTTATGTTTCTTTTGAACACCTCAAAAGCCATATGTCTGTACCTATCTTAATGTTTAAAGAATTTTTGTCTGATGTAACAAGTTTGTGCTTTGGAACTCTTATAGGATTTTTTGCACGTGTTATATTAGTACAGTACGTGTTATATTAGGAAGGTATTTGCAGTAAGTACGTACTTATGTACCTGATTCTCGAGCTTTGACCCTGCGAGGCTATTTTCACTGGATAGTTCAAATGGTAAGTGTAAGTATCTGTCTCTCTATTTATCTTACAGGTAAGTCTTTTGGAGTAATAAACAGTAGGCAAAGTTGATCACAGGGTCGTTGTAAAAACACAATATTTCTGGTCAGGGTATACGACGTAACTCAACCTACTTTCTAGCCGTTTTAAGCCAGAATTTTTTTGAAAACCTCTGTGTTGACGTCGATATGGTTTGCAAAATTGTTCGTAATCTATTAGGTGTTTCTTCTTGCAGAAATATTCGAATTAAAACAAAAATGCTTAGATATTTGCCATGGTTTCTGTTCTAAATGTCTAAATTTAATTCTGTTTCACTATCACAGTCGTCATTGTGATTAATTATAATAGTATTTATGTTGTTTTGTAAGTAAGAAGTAAGAATTTGTATAATGTGTTGTACTGAATTTGCTATGTTATTAATTACATTTTTGGGGTTGAAGTTAACCATGGAATGACATGGAGGAAGACATAAAACAGTATGCCCAGCCTGTTCAGTCAAATTATCGTATACATATTGTTTTCTTCATTATCCAAAATATTGTGGCCTAAAAATAGTAACTATTGTTGAAAAACAAGAACAGATAAATACAAACGAAAAATGAGAATTTTATTATCGTAATCAAAAATATTTCAAGCAAGACCGCAAATTCAGCTCGAGAGCGGAAATGCAAGGAAGTAACAACTTTTTCTCCAAAGAAATAGTGAAAACTATTCTTTTTTTTTTTTTGAAAAATTATGTACCAAAAGGAAAGATTTTCAACATAACCCACTATAAAATAACACCATTTACAAGAAATGTTCTATGTAGCTCAGTGCCATACAATAAATAATATTCGTTTTTAAGGTTAAACTGTGGAAGACGTTTGAAATTAGTAGATTGGACGGTCAAGTATTAAAAATGTCCCGTATATTTAGTTTTACATAATATTTTTTGAATTTCATAGCTATGAAAAAAAAATTATGAACAGAATTTCAAATATTCTGGCACGCATATACCGCAACATACTTTCTAGCTAACTAACCAAAACTAACTAGCTTTCTAGGCGGAATTTTCTGAAAATCACCAATAAAAATCATTTGGAAACAGTGACATAACTCATACTAACAACATCCGCCATTTTGTTTTTTTTTTTTAATTTTTTCTTTTATTATCCAAAATTTCCGTGTTTAGTTTTCATAAAATATCAATTATTGCCGAAAAGAAGGGAAAATAGGTACAAAAAAAATTTGAAAGTGAAAATGCTTCCGGGAAAAGACTGCGTAATTAGTCATCATTTCACTTTTTTATGTAACGTTTGGAGAAAAAAAAGGAAATACAAAAGTTGTTCAAAAAAAATTGCTATTTGCAAGATATATTTTTTTATATAAATCACGCACAGGTGCAAGTTATATATTTTTAATGGAACATCCTGTATACTATAGAGGAGGGTGCGGCAAGACGTCCCACTCAAGCTTTTTATTATATATTGATTTACATATTTTTTATTTTATATTGATAATGTTATAATATAATAATAATTAAAAAAAGCGTTACTGATTAGTTACTATTTGTTATTGGTATTTATAAGATTTTCGAAAACTCTAAACCCATAGAATTATCAAAAAGTTAATAATATGGAATAACTGTTTTTTTGGAATTTTTAAGTGCTCCATTTTACTATTAGTTTATAATTATTAGAAGAAAAAAAAAAGGGTAATTTTTGAGGTGGGTCTCCCCTACGCTTGAAAAAAATCCCCTAAAAATTCTGCACATTTCTTTTATATGTGCTAACGAGGTTTGTCTGAAATTCTCAAGGTGGCATTCCTGATTTTTGGCAGGTATTTTCGCCACATTCGCCTCTGTGCCGCCGCAGTTGCCAACAATCCAATAACGTCTTTCCCTCGGAATCGCAATCAAAATTAACATCACAACACTCAGACCGCAAAATTAATCACTTGACTGGCCCCCATGGTGTACGGTGCAATCTGGTTGAGCAGCGGCTAATGCCCGCGATAATTGCAGTCGTCCTTTTGTCGGGATCAGTTGAAAGCTTAGTCGAAAGCTAGCCAAAGTTTAGGTTTCATTTTGGGTGAGCGGAAAACGGCAAACTTACAACCACCTTTTCAAGAATATCGCATACTTGACATCTTGCTCGAGCTTTCCTGGATAAAGTTGAAGTTTTGAAATTTGAACAAGCAGGCGTTGGACAGTGCCAAAGTAATACACAGGGTTGTTAAGTATTTAACCACATACACGTATCCAAAGTTTTATTACATTAACTCCATTATTAATATTAAATACAAGTATTTAAAGACGTATTTGAAACACATGCTTTGTATTTAAATACAACTGTCAATAAAATTTTAAATGAATGTAATTAAAATCAAAACTTTTATCTAAAGTTTTTTTACATTAACATTACATACAAATTAATATTAATTACATGTATTAAACACAGCTAATGTCGTAAATATACTTTAAAAAATTGTATTTGAAATTCAATTAAATACTTTAAAAAAACGTATTTTTAACGACAAATGTTTCGATTTTGGCCAGTTCTTTTCAAACTTTACTATTAATGTTTGCTTTCGCAATATTGGCAATATTCTCGCGTTTCAGAAAACAAACTATACGATCCCATTTATTTGACAACTAACCAAAACCGCCAGTGCAAAGTTGTTTCCGTTATTAATGCAAGGCCTACTCGTTTAAAATTCTCGAGCAAAATGTCGAGTATGAAAATATATTTTCAATTATCTGGTGACTGGGTGCTAAGCGGAGCCAGTGCTACCGTCTGTTGCCAAGTTTCTTCAAAATTGACCTGCTTTTCGGCCTTTTATACGGCGACGAGATTTCGGAGGTCGCCGAACATCTGCTCAAAATTACCTAAAGAAAAAGAGAGCCACGGCCTTGGGAAGAATTTCGCACCTAGTTGGGGTGACCGCCGTCAAAATTTTCGAAAATTGAACGACGCTCGCGTTTATCAGTGTTTTTGCAAGGTCGTAATTTCCACAATAACAAAAAAAATAGATTGAAGAAAAACCAAGGTAAACAGACAAAAAAACTAGTCGTTGAATGAGAGGGAGAATTATACAATGCAGCTTAAAAATCTCCACCCACCATGCTTAGTTGCACGGAATACAAAAAACATTTTCTGCAAAAGCAGATTTTTTGATAATAAATAAAAACTTGCAAAGTTAAAATATGTGACGTTTCATTTAAATTAATTATCAAATGATAATAATAACGGCAGTATCAAATAAAATTGTTTCTTTGGGCCGGTATGAAATTTAAAAGTTGACGTACAAGATGTTTATAATACATGTTTCGACGTCCAGTAATATCGACAAACGATAAGACGTCGAACCTTTGCAGTTTAAAATTTACGATACCAACCTTGCGGAATCTCACTGGCTCTGGACGGTCCCTGGAAAAAAAACACAGACCATCGGAAATCTCTTCGTTTCCGTCACTACTTTTTCGCGGTTCAATTTTCGGATGTTTGTGTTGCGCGTTCACAGCCACGGACCGCGCGAAACAACTTTTGTAGTTTCCGTCGCCGAACTCGGCGTCCGCGACAGTTTTAATGTCGTCCGCCATCCTGTATTTTTACAAAGACTGTTGGAAAAACGTCAGTCCATCATCCTACAGACGTCGAATTTTGAACGTTGCCGCAGTAAACTGCGCCCGATTGCACGCCGAACTCTTGCGCACCCTTCTTCGACCATCGGAGTCTTCCGGCAATATAAAATTTATTTTGAAACGGATTAAGAGTGCGGGACTGGGGGTTTCTAACGCGCAAACGCGAATTCGAACGACGCCCCTTAAGTCGGCAACCGCGTATGCATTTAGCGGCAATATTGGATATATATTTTTTTCAGTTCCTGGGAATTGGAAGGAAGATTTAAAATACACATGACTCTAACCTTGTATTTCGAAAATTCGTTTAAAAATCAGGGCAATTCAAAATCTTGTTTTCGCGCAATATAAATTCTGCTAATGGCCTGCCAGAATTCTCCCGAAAATACCGATGTTCCGGAAAAGTCGCTTTCGCCAGTTCTTAGTAATAGCCGATCCTATAGGAAAGTGCTACATGTAAAAAAGAGAAAATATTCAAATATTCGCAACAAGGTTAAAACTGAAGAAAATAAGGAACCTGTCGATGAAACGGAGCCCGAAATCGCCACTTATTCGGAGAAATTAGGACCGGATGTTTCTCTGGTACATCAAATTGAATACCTGAAAAAATGGAAAGCTGATATGGAGAAAAATTATGATAAAATAGCTTACAGCTCCACACTTGGGCAAAACGAGCTTATGCTTGGACCGGCTATATCCGAAAATGATGTTAGTGCAATGGTAATTAGAGACTTGGAGCCTGCACCTAGAATCTTTACAAAAAGTACGATAAGAGGAAATAGGAGTGTGAAAAATATATTCACGGATGAAAATTTTGACGATTTGAAGCCATTCAAAGGTGGTTTCGATAAAATTCCAACAGCTAAAAGGAATATTTTTGAAAATGAAAATTTTGATGATCTTAAGTTACAAGGAAGTTTCGTAGCATTTCAAAAATCTTCATCTATTTTGAGACCCAAACAGGTAAATTCCAATTCTGATTTGGAAGCTAAAAAGTGTGCCGAGAGGCAGTTTATCAACGGCCCAAACATATTTCAGAATGAACAACTTGACGATATTAAATTGCCAATGCATTTTGATGGGTTTAAAAAATGTTCCTTCCTTATAGAAAAAGAATTATTTAGCAATAAAGAAACTTTAACAATTGCAAAAAATATTTTTGAGAATGAAAATTTTAAATCATTTCAAAAATCTACATCCATTTTACCAAGCGGTGCTAACTGTAAATTAGCAAAGGAAAAGTGCACTGAAAAACAATGCACCAAAATCACTTCAGATATTTTTCCGGATGAACAATTTGATGATCTTCAATTGCCAGAAGATTTTAATGGATTTCAAAAAAGTTCTTTTCTTATCACTAAAAGCTCACCAGATAAGCGCAGTGCACTTTTAGAAAGTAAGTTAGTTAATTCAGAGCAAACTAATACTAAAGCAACTTTACCTGACATGTTTGGAGATGAAAATTTTGATGACTTAAAATTGGGCCGACGCAATTTCGGAGGTTTTATTAAAGCTTCTGAAAAGAATAAATTATCAACAAACCGAATGCTCACAGTAAACTTGGAATTGGATGTTGCTTCAGCTGTTAAACAAGGTTCTTCAGAAGCAGGGAGGGTACCTAAAATCTCTGGCAATAGTGGTTTCAGAAATATATTTGATAATGAAGATTTTGATGATTTAAAAAATAATGAAGAAAAAATAAGGAACAACTCCAGTAGCTATAAAAATGGCAATTTTAAACAACTATTTGCCGACGAAAATTTTGATGACTTAAAACACAGCTTCGAAAATTTGAGAGGTTTTTCAAAAGCTTCTGCAACTACAGTGGACAATTGTAATGATTTTAATAGAATCAATTATTGCGTTGATGAGGGTAAGTATGAGTGAAATACTTTTGTGTGTGTTAGATATCGAATTTCTTTTAGACTTTAAAGGCTTTACCGATTCCGAAAAACTAATATCTTCAACTGTGAAAAATGCATTTTGTAAGCACATCAGTTTTCCTGACACACCAAACACGCAGTCAAAGAGTGTTAATAAAATTCAAACAACTGATTTGAACGTATCTATGAAAAATAAGTCTCAAACGCATGGCAATGTGAATTTTCTGAGGAGGCCCAAAAAGAGGTTAGGAGTCCATGTGTCTCCCTCGATAACCGTATCAGACAGGAGCTTAAAACGAGCAAAGATGCTCTTCGAAGATGAATTTTCCAGCACGTCGACTCCGGTCAGAGCGGACGTCGCCCCCAAAGTTAATTGCGACATAACTCCAATTCAAAAACGTACCAATGTCTTTTCAGTTCAGAAAAATACACCCAAAAGCGAGTCCTTTGGTAAAATTGTTGTGGAACGCACACTGATAAGCGGCAGGTTCCAAATTCGGAACCCCTCGGAGGTCGGCATTGACCAAGTGTTGCACGACATAGGCAATGAGCGCCGATTGCTCGAAGAAAAGCTGAGGATTATCGGCCAGAGGGAGACGGCTTTGAGTGACCAACGCCAATTTCTCTTGTTTCCCAGGGAAAATGTCAAGTAAGTCTGTGTGATTATGGAAAACGTGCAAAATACTCTGAAGTGTTGAGCAAACTTTGATTTTTATTAAACAACATCAAAAATCATTGCTTTTTTTTAAATCATCATTTTTTTTATTTTGTTTGATTTTTTTTTTAATTTCATAAGAATATGTATTTCCCCGTTGTTTTTAACAAATTTTAAGGGCACATCGATGTAACTGATATCAATCAAATTCAAATTGATATTTCAGGATTAAAAATCTACCCCCAGTCTCATACAATAAGGATGGTATCCTCGATTATCTTTTATGCACCTAATTGGAGCTATATAGCATTCCAATTTCTTTCCAATAAATAAAAAGTAGCGTGATTTTTATTAAAAAAATCAAAAATCATTGTTTTTTTTTAATCATGATCTTTTTAAATTTCATAACAATATTTATTTTCCGTTGTTTTTAACAAACTTTAAGGGCTTAAACTTAAACTTAACTGATATCAATTGAACTCGAACTGATATTTCTGATATTATGTTAAAATCAGCAACTGAATTTCATGGAATTGCAGAGCTATGAAAAAGTGACAGTATTAAAAATCTACCCCCTGTCTCATACAAAGAGGATGGTATCCTCAATTATGTTTTATGTACCGAATCGGAGCTACTATATAGTATTCCAATTTCTTACCAATTAATGAAAAGTAGTATGTTTTTATTAAAAAAATCAAAAATCATTTTTTTTTTGAAACCATGTTTTTTTTTAATATCATGAGAATAAATAAATAAATAAATTTTTAATTTTTAATTTAAAAATTAAAATTAAATTTTAAGGGCATCGATGTGACTGATATCAATGGAACCCGAACTGATATTTCTGACATTGTCAAAATCAGTAACTGAGTTTCATAGAACTGCAGAGCCACGGTTATCTTTTATGTGCCCAATTGTTGCTATATAGCATTCCAATCTCTTACCAAAAAATAAAAAGCAGTGTTGATAGGCAAAAATAGGAGCATGCTATAATTGGGACGAAATTAATTCTCTGTTAGTAAATAAGACCTTTGTAGAAAGGCCTGAAAATAAAAATATAGTTAGTTGTAAATGGAGAATTTCTCTGTAAAACACGGTGTTGTCGAAACAATTGTCATGTGAAAATATATAATTTCGTGAAAATCTGAACTTGTAGTTCTTATTTATTTTGTTAAATGGATTTTCATCAAGTGAAAGCCACCTCAGTTCAATTTTATTTTAATTGATTTTTTAAGTTTCATAAGAATATGTATTTCCCTGTTTTTTTTTGTCGCAATTACAAAATATTCTAAAGCCTTTATAAACAATATGGTACAATGTACTAGCGGAAAATAGAATATTATTGGGCTTAAACATATAATATCAGTTGCTCTTAACATTTTGCATAGAAAAACCGCCACTATCTTCGATGCAGCAGAGCAGTGGAAACATACACAATATATCGTCGAAAATGTAGAATTACCTTTATCAAAAATACAACAAATTCAGGATCAGTATACATAGGCACTCACGCCATATCATTTTATATCCCATATGTTGAATTAATTTTTCAAAGAACCTTCCACAGGCTACTGTAATACTATTTACAAAACTTTTGGATTCCTCCTGTTGTTAAGTCGAACTTGCTAACGTTTCGCCAATCATGCTGTTGTATTCTTCAGTGTTTCACTGAAAGAAGAGGAATCCAGAAGTTTTGTTAAAAAAAAAATGTGTTGAACCCTCGAAAACACAACCATATGAGAATATGAGTTAACACCCGGAGAAAAGAATCTTGCTTTAGAAACAATTAATAATGAATGTGGAAACACCGGACTTTTGGGGGGAAAGTAGTACTTTTGTTCCAACTATACAACGAAAATTCAGAAGCATGAAGCGTATATGTGTGTACGTGTTATTCGTCTTATTTTTTAAATAGTTGTGTTTTACTTTTTATTTGCAATTCTTTCAAAAAATAGGAGTTTAAAATCATGATTTTCATCGTGATTAAAATTAGCCCAACGCCGAGTGAAAAGCGAATGTTTTAGGGCGAATCCTGGTTTTTTGTATGTTGCCAAAAGTAAAGGCCATTGCCGGAGATTGAGAACTATCGCATGGCGACAAAATTTGACCGATTTCGAGGCCGATAATATTGTGTACCAGATTAACCCTACCAATGCTGCCATGGTGCATTTTAATTTAAACGATGTTGACGAGGAGTGAGTTGTCGGGCATCCTTTACGGTTAGAAGTGACCGTCAATGCTTTTAGGCAACCGTTTATAGTAACGGCTGACGGGGCCAAAGTAATTCCAAACGGTGGCAACCAAATCGGGCTGCCCGAGGTGGATCGAAGCTTTAAAACTATGCTAGGGGTGGATCCGGGTTTAATTCCCAAGGGGTGGGTAAAAAATCACTACAAATGGATCGTGTGGAAGTTAGCTAGCTACGAGCGGACCTTCCCGGACATATTCGATCGGTGCTTGAGCGTCGAGAACGTCGTGCGACAGCTAAAGTATAGGTACGACCGCGAAATAGACAAGGCGGAGAGGCCTGCCGTTCGCAAGATTCTCGAAAAAGACGACTGTGCCCAAAAGAGATTGGTGCTATGCGTGTCCAAGATATCGAGGGTAGAGAAGGGCCCCCCTGGGGAGCTGCGTTGTATCGGAAATTATTTTAGGTTGGTACCGGTTACGAGTTGGAACTAACCGACGGTTGGTACGCCGTAAGGACCGTCATCGATCGTCCATTGTGCGATCAAATTGATCGGGGCAAACTTCGCGTAGGCACGAAAATAATCACGTGCGGGGCCGAACTGTCGAACTGCGAAGCTTGCAGTCCATTGGAGGTCAGCGATCTGGCTTACTTACGGATAAGCTATAACTCGACCAGAAGGGCCGCATGGTGGGCCAAGCTGGGTTACCAAAGGGACCCCGATCCGTTTCCCGTGTCTTTATCAAGCGTTCGCCCCGAGGGGGGCAAGATTGGGTGCGCGCGCTTCTACCTGGCCAGGGTATATCCTGTCAAGTACCTCGAATCGGTTGAAGGAAAGAAAGGTGCCAGGCTATTAAGCCTGGCCTTCATGGAAGGAGATTTAATCGGTTGTTTTAGTGTGGAGGAATGAAAAGGCGGAGGAACGTAGGACGCAAGAGTGGCAGTGCGAGAGGGAAAGGGAGTCGGCGCCTCGAACCTTTAAACACATCGAAAAGGAGGACATCAGGGAAGTGAGAGATCCGGGGGCCTTGTACGAGATGTTGCAGAGGAGCGACGATCCTGAAGGCCTGCAGGTTTTTGATTTGATTAATTACTGCAAAAGAAACAAAAACAGAGTAATACATCTTTTATACCGTCCAAGATTTCACAGATGCGTATGATTTCACATATTTCACAGATATTTTTTTTTATCTTTTTTATTTATTTTTATCCCAACATAGAAAAAAAGAGCACGTTTATCATATTTAGTTAGGAATTTCGATAATTATTAATTTTGTGTTGATAAAAAAAATACCAAGTATAATTTGACCTTATCTTATGCTTTCAATTCAATTTTAAAATTATCTGAGAATCATTACAATAATCCAAGAAATCCAATTAAAACTTATTAACGATAATGTCAAAATTGGTTTGCCTTGTTTGTGTTATTTATGAGGAAACCGCAGATATTTCTCCCTATTTTTTGATTAATGTCGATATCTTCTGTATACAGGATGTTTCAAGACAAATGCGAAAAGCCTAAGGGTAGTTTTTACTATAAATAAGAAAAATAGCGCATTTTGTATTAATTTATTTTAAGTATTATTATTATTATTATTATAAAAACCCTTTCTGCATATATTTTTATTTTTATTTTAAACGATTGCAGACTATTCCTATCATCCTTCTTAAGTAAATTTGAGGAAAAAACTTATGCCTTCATATTGAAAAATATTGTTTTTATTATAAACTTCCCTTTATTTTTATACATAATAAGACAAAATATAAAATTTCCTTTACTTCCATTCTGCCAGTTGTTCTGAAAGAACTCATCCGTGGAATATATTATTTTATTCACTGATAATTTCCTCTTACATAGCTGTTTCTCATGGTACCAGTCACACCAAGCTGTGGAACTCGGAAATTATTAGGCAATTTAATAATACAACGTTGAACTTTAGCTCCCTGAAGAGGTCACTAGATGCAGAGGTACCCTTTTTAAATGTTATTACTTCTATGGTTCTTTTTTAGGCAATCATTACCTATGCGATGCGCACACTGCCATCGCAAATTACAATACCATGAAATAGTATGAAATTAATTTACCGAATTTCAGTTATTTATGTTGACACTCCGTTTAAAATTTAAGTTTGTGACCAAGCATTTTACTATATAAACCTTGCTTCCACTTATAATAAATTAATTTAACTAGTCCGTCCGTACTCAGAGATGGATTCATGTTGTTTCATGTGATAATAGGTCAGGGTGTTCTTTAATGATAAACTATGATCATTTTTTAAATAAACCGAAAAATTTGCATGCAATAAAAATTAAAGAAATACCAAAAAAATCGGAAAATTAAGAAAGATATATATCATACGAGTTAGGTATGAGTAAATATACAAGTAAACCATATTTAGTTTTGTATTTACGATGAAACGTCTATACGAGCTAAAATTGAAACGGCTACTACCAGACAATGATCCTTCGTCTAAATTTCCCAGCATTATTTTATTACGTTTTCTGTATGTGTTATACAACTGATTAAATTTTCTTTGGTAACTGCCGTCCAAACAGATACTACTGCAGTATCATCGTGACTTGCCTCACCGAGGTCACGCCAATTCCATTGGATTAAATATTCAATGGTAAGGAGGCAATCTTACAACTTGATGACCCCTTGGTCTGTAGCATACGGCAAGTTTCTTTTTTAATTTTTCATAATTTTTAACAACTTCCATTTTAGACCATTTAGACTATACTTTATTATGCCGAATAAAAGAGAAAATAATCGACTCTGTGGTGGTCATATTTGAAACTAGGCCGTTGCCTTCCTTAAAGAATAAGATGCGTAACTACTCAACTGGTGAATGCATCTATCATCATCATCGCCAAATGTGACTTAATTTGACAAATAACAATTTTGTAACCTAGAAGTTTTGGAAATTTTCAAACTCCGAAAACCATTTTTCAGGAATACCTGACGGATTCTCAGAAGGAGTCTGTGTATTCCTATCGAGCGGCCGAAACGGTTAACACACATTCGAGCGATGTGATAAGCCGCGTCTCGCGCGACGTCACGCCCCTTTTAAAACTTAGGGTGGTGGACTGCGACGACGTGGCCAAAGACTATACGTTCAACGTTTGGAGGCCGTCCGAAACGCACTTTCAAATTCTAAAAGAAGAAGAAATAGTAACTGCTTTTAACGTCACGTGCAGGTAGGCGACTAGATTAAAACGATTCGCTAATGAAAAAGTGTTTCTGTCACGCAGCAAAAATTGGGGGCTTGGCAGCAACAGCCACACCCGGTTTCGACGCGAAGGACGGCCTACTTGCGATGACAAATTCGATAAACTCAAAAGAAGGGTGACGCTCATCGATCGCTTGGCGCCGGGCGTCGCGTTCAGGGAATTCGACACAGTGGGCGTGTTGGTGAAAAAGCGGATCGAGAGTAATTTTCAGGATTTTTGGCTCGCCGGCCCGTCGGAAAGGTACGCTCCGTTAAAATCGGTTGTGCAGTTATGTCACACGTAGTGACGTAATCAAAAATGATCCGTATGTCTTAGCTATCCTCCTACTATGTGCCTTATATGACAAAGTGATGAAGTAGTGTGTTACCATTGGTGTGTGTCCAGTCTCTGATGTTTCTTCTTTCTATCTATCCTTCTCTTACCCTCAATTTTGCCTACCAGGATTAGCTGCAATTGTTCGTACTGTTCATGGTGCATTATGTATCCACGTTAGGAAGTTTTTCTAATTTTAATGAGACCAGTCAAAAGGGGGCGGGTGTCCACTCTTGTTATATCTAGATAACTGTAGGTAATATGGGATCGCCGTTGGTACAGAAATGATCACCGTCGAAAAAAAAATTTTTTTGTCTGTCCGTTCTCTGTTCTCGTCCTTTGGTTTTTACTGAATAATTTTCGAACGGTTAGAACTACAAAATTGAAATTTGCCTCCATTTTAACTCTCCACGAGGCACATAAGCTTATAAGAAATGGCCCTGATCCTACGCCGGTATCCATCTTTTTTTCGCGATTTTCGACTGTTTTTTGGACCTTGCTATGAACCACGATAAGTGTCCGAAATTTGAAGCAATCGACTTCATATTTGGCACATATATGCCGCTTTACCCAGTGACGGAACCTATTGAAAATGGTAGGGGGGGAGGGTCGAGAAGTATTCTAAAAAAATAAAAAATCGCCTGTGCAAGGGTCTACAAAAAACATCATTTTTCAAAAACTGTTCACGAGACCAAAAAAATTCTTGAACCAGAAGAAGCACAAGATACGGCTCTTTTATTCATGGAAATCTACAGGGTGCGCCACAAATTCAAAAAAACTGAAAAATGGGTCCCCCTATTATTGAAAATTGGTTGTAACTGAAAGACTATGATTCAGATCTCATTTTCTTTTATATTGCGATATAGCCCCCATAGACAGCAAAAACTTTTGTATTTAAGGTTTTCACGTATTGTACAGAGTGTCCCCGATATTCCGTACTAAATGAGAAATGTGTTAAGTGTCCTAAATTTGCCGATATCAACTTCCAATTCAGCAGAGAAATAAAAGTCCATGTCGACATTAGAATTTTTTAAAACGGTTTAAAAATTTTTTTTTTCAAATTATAGGCAAAAATATTTGAAAAAATCCATATTGAAATCGTTATTTCGGGGGCTGTCAAGACGCGATGACGTCATTAATTATTACGGCGCACTGCAAATTCTTGAACCAGGACGCGTGGAAAATCCAGGGGTATAACTTCTACTTCGAACAATGATTGTATAATATACAGGGTGTGTCCTTTATGGGCAAAAATCTAAAATATCCTAAAAATTTCAGTCTTTAATTATTAGAAGGCTTAATGACGTTATAGCTAAAGCAACGTTGAAATCATCCTCATATCCAAAATGTTTTTCGTCCTTAGAGGAGCATTGCGAACGATCTTTCAGGTATTTTAGTAAAGCATTAAGATCGTGATTTTTGCTATTTTGAGAAAGACTTTGATGACCTAAACGAAAATTAGCCTCGATGTTATCATAACTAATTGAATTAAATATAGATGTCATCAGCTTATGAATGAATTTGGTACAACAGGGTCCAAGAATTGAACCCTGTGGCACTCCCGAAGTAACATCACCCATATCTGATACACAGATAATTGTTCTAACGAACTGCTGCCTATTATTTAAATACTACTGGAAAAAGATACAAATCCATCAGTTTTATTTATTTCACTAAGAAAACAAAATATTGACTGTTAATGTGAAAAGAGACAAAACTTAAAAGAAACGAAAATCACGTGTAAAAACGTCTATATACAAATTCAACTTTTACCGGTGCTCTTCCTTCATTTTTAAAAAAGATTCGTTAAAAAGCTTTAATACATTTCGTAAGGGTCTCAAATATTCAGAACATTTCAGTCCAAAAACGATTATTATGTTTTTCCTCTATCTTCTTTCAAAATTCATTAGTTTGGACCCAATTTCAGTGTTTTGTGTTCAGTTTCCCTGATTCTTTTATTTTGATCTCCAATTTTGCAAGTTTCTGGTTTTCTATAATTACCTTCTTTGATATCAATGCATCCTTGAAAGATTACATTTTGAAATAAATTCATATTCAAAGAATGCAGTTTTTCTGAACAGTGTGACTTCTCTAACACCTATAGCTGGTCTTTCATTAAACTTTGCTGAACTTTGATTACGTATTTGCTAAGTCCATTACTATTAATGAGAACATTTTTAAATAAAAGAATTACATAAGTTAGTTTTTATCCTATTGCATATTGGGTACAAAACTAAAACTTTTAATGGGCTAAAAAAGTGTGCTTTTCCCATAAATCGCCTTTCAAAATTTTCTGTGTTCATTGAATCGCGGTAGGTCATCGATTTGCAGCCAGTATTTAAAGACTGGCATAGTCTAAAAGGCCATTTTTAGAGTCAGCGCGTCAAATTATTTAACGAACTCCGTCACCATATTATTCCCGAACTGTTTGCAGAGAACCATATCCAAGTCTCGTCCATTCTGGTTTTTTCTTTTATCCAAAATCCACGAAAAAGTTATATAGATTTTCGACTTCACGTACAAAGAAACAGTTCCACAAATTATAGTATTCATTTGGAAAAAAGGAAAGTTTCAATTTTTTTTCATACCCGCCGAATTTAGAAAGGAGTGTTCTGTGGTCTGAACTTTGATCGTTCATAAAAATGGTCTCAAGTATGGAGACATTAAATACTTACAAAGTGTACGGCGTTCAAGAGTAAAACCACACAGTTTTTTTCTCGAGTGAAATGATCCACAAGTTTTGAAATGACACGATTTAATCATCCGCCAAATTTAATAATTGTGACACGGATTTCAAAACTGACAAGCGAAATTCCTGCGTCAATGTACGACATCCCGTAGTGAACTAAGTGATGACGTAACTGCACAATGGCTCCCGTGCTTTCGGAAAACTTTCGAAACGCCCTCATAGGTTGTTGCTGGTGAATGTGTACGAATCGCCGCGGAATATATCGCTCCTGGGGTCGGTCAAAGACGGGGACGTCTTAACAGTATCGAATTTGACGTTTCAACAAGCGTATGATACGTATAGTCGCGCGTGCGCGGACCATTACACCACAGTTGCGAAATATTCGAGGTGCAAACATTTGCAAGACGCGTGTCAGGCGTTAAACGCAGAGCTCGAAGAACGGGTGAGTCATTAGAAGGAGTTTTCAAAAGTTTTAAGGTTTGATCGCGCGTTTTTTAAGGATTTCGCCGAATTTTTAACACTGTGTCGAAAAAAAGTGGTAAGCGTCGAAGAGAAATGGAACTCGAGCGCGAAATTAGAGTGGGGCAACGACGATATGGATTCGTCCCAACTTACGAGCACCGATATCGCATTAATGGAGTGTATGAATAAGTTTACGTGAACTTCGTTGTGATAGTGACTTAAGTTCCACGTTGAAACCTGAGTAAAATATATTTATTTTGTTGTATTTATTTTCTTTCATTGTCCAAAAAGACGATACAATCACGCAGACAGCGTACAAAACTTTAATCCCCAATTGGTAGGCTCGATACTTAATTACGTAAGTTATTACAGTTGGCAATACGAAGAGATAGGTCAGGTGAAAATAACAAGTTACAAAATTAAAAACATCAAAATTCAAAATTAAGTCTCTAATAGTATATTATGCAACAAGTGCGGTAAACGTCATTTGACTCACGAGCGGAGCGAGTTTTTAATAAACGAGTGAGTTAAAAAGTTTACCGAACGTGTTGCATACTATACTTTTTTTACGTTTTTGGATACATTTTCGCAAAACAACACGAATGCAGTCGCTGACATTAAAAGCGTGGGAAATATCTCCGAAAATATCCGATTGCTGCCAAATCCGTGCGGAACATCCCGGAAATATCCGAAGTGGCTCGGATTCATGGGAAACGCAACTGACATGGTAAAGTGACGTTTCCCGCCCGCTAGATCGGCGGGTAATTAGGTATTTTACAGACGGTAGTAGAAAAAAGCATTTTAGTTTTAAGTAGGTGACGATTTCTCATTAAATTTTTCGCAGTCATTTATATTCAGTACATTATTATGCAGGAATTCACGAGAAAAGTTCAGCTATGAGCGGGAATTCTCAGGTTATCTCTATTTTCAGCACGTATTTGCATATTTCCATGCAGATTGTGTTTTTTTTTTTCGAAATAATTGTGGATTAAAAAAAAAATGTAACCAATGCAAAATGGTGCTGTCAGTACATCAAGCTTTTGAAAATATGGTAATGGTTATAGCCTAATGATCCGTTGTTGCGCTATGAAAGTCCGATCTGCGAAAGGGGTAATCCCAGAAAAGTATCGAGAAATTAATTGATGGTTTATGATAAACTTAGTTGATCCCTCTAGCTTCGAGTTACTACATAGGTGCTGTTTAATTTTGATGTCACTCCTTCAGGCGTAACTTTCATTACTTTTTAACTTATGGAAAGCTAACAACTCCGACCAGCATAGAACTGTCAGCAAACTGAAACAAAGCCATCACACAGGCTATTCACATAAAGGGGGAAGAGCAGGGGGTCAAGAAATGATCCCTGCGGCACACCCTTGCCTATTCAGATCTCATTGGAGGTGTAGTTTATATTACTTGGTATACTAACAATCTGTTTTCTAAAAGAAGCACAATTTTGAAACAGTTTATTCCCTACTTGTTACTTTTGAAAAATCGATAAAATCAATTGTTTTCAAAAGTATACGCGCTCCTCACTAAACTCGAGATCTCGATAACGGTGCATCGTACAGCGTAGCTGTTGATACAGATGGAATCAGCATCGAAGAAAAAAACGTTTTGGTTTGTCGGTTCTGCGTTCCAGTGTTTTTCGATGATCACTTCCGAACGGTTTGAGCTACACGCTTCAAATTTTGCTCCTTTTTAACCATCCACGGGGTGCATATATGCAAAAATGGCTGCGTTTAAGTTTCGGCGTCCATCTTTTTTTTTTCGATTTTCGACTGTTTTTTGGACGTTGCTATGAAACACAATAACTAATCGAAATTTGAAGCTATCGACTTCAAATTTGGCAGGCAAATAGCTTTTGGTCCCCCAACGGAACCTATTGGAATTGGGGGAGTTGGGGGGTCGGGAAGTATACAAAAAATAACAACTGCGTTTGCAAGGGTCTACCGAAAAGATCATTTCTCGCAAACTGTAACTGTTTATAGAACCGAAAAAATTCTTGAACGAGAACACATAGAAGATTTGGCTGCATAAGCTTTTATTCCTGACAATTTTTCAAGAATGTACAGGGTGCGCCGCAAATTAAAAAAAAATCTGAAAATGGGTGCCCCTATTATTGAAAATTGGCGATAGCTGAAGGACTGTGTTTCAAATATCAGTTTCTTTGACATGCAATATTAAAAAACGTAAGTTCAGACCCACATCTAAAATATTAAAGTCGAGTACAATTAAGTACCACAAAGTATTTTTTTCTTAATTTTTGAATTTTTTTTTTGGTTATTTTGGCTTCCAGAAAAAATGTTTTTCTCCATTTAACCGGAAATCAAAAATCGTAACAAAAATATGTCAAAGTTTTTCGTAGACTTGATTTTTCAGGTCTATAACCAAATTGAGTAGGTCTAACTATATTGTTCCCTTTCTTCTGAGGAAAGTCCCGTGTAGGGAAGCATTCGTTTACAATTTCGCTTAATGGAATATGGCAAATAAAAAATAATTTGATTTTTAACATTTTAATTTAAAAATACTGAGGTGGTGCTTATCTGATAACAAAGTAGGTGCCGCCAACATGAAAACTAAAAATAATTTAGAATAATTTAATTGCTTTTTCGGGTTTGCCTAAATTTTGCTTTTCTTGTTTCGTCCGTCCCTTTCGTGCCTCTCGTTAAGCATCTTATAGGCCGGCAGGTATGACTTGGTATCTCCCTCGAACACAGACAAGTACGGATTTGGTATGGTATTAGTAGCGTTGCCCAACGAGGTGTAACCATGGTCGTACAATTTACAATACGGAACTTTGTAATATAAAAGGTAATCCCAAATGTCCGAATAGTGCCAATTCAACAAGGGATTGCACCTCATAACTTGCGGCCAGTCATGATCGGTCATCTGAAATTTTCAAAAAAAGATAACCTCAATAAGAAGTGTTAACTTACGTTACCTCGAATGTGTGTAAGTTATCTGAAAACGGGTCCGTCCTTCTGGTGCCCATGAAGCAAGCCTTCAGTTGGGGGCGCGCAGCCAAAATGTCGGCGAGGGCCTGCCTTATGTCCGACATGATGGTCACCACTTCCAGATTATAGTGGATACTGTATTGCCCAATAAAGTCGTCTTGCTCTTTGAAAGCGCAATTGCTTCTGACGTACAAACACAATAATTTCGCGTTTAAATTTGAGTACTTTTTCTTTAGCACTACCTGCACCAAATGATGCAGAACGGTGCAGTCTTTGCCGCCGTTGAAACTGAGGAAAACGTGTTGCGGCTGATACATTTCGAAACATTTTTCTATGGCCTGCAATTGGAAATTGGAATTTGGCCGGTCTAAACGACAAACGTGTCTAGATATAGAACACCCTATCTTACCTGGTACTTACTTGGAGAGCCGATTTTATATGTGCTTCGGAACTATTCCAGACAAGATCTTGTGCACCAATTAAGGTGACAGACGTTACAGGTTCGTTAGAAAAGTTATTTCTTAACTCCACTTCAGCTCTAACAATATTATCGAATGATTTAGACGAGAGCCTCAACATTTCTATATCCTCATGTTTTTCCGTACCTATGTCTAAATTTTCTATGCTCTCCAAATACTTGAACCCATTTAAGGGCACTTTAAACAGTTTTACAAAACAATACTCTTGTCTATAACGCAACAAATGTTCCCGTAACATCAGCTGAATTTGCTTGTGCGCCAATTCCAAATAAACTATAAATATCCTATGAAAATGTAACACCGGCAGCAAATTTCCACATTTAAGTAGTTTTATTGATTTCGGCCACCAGCAAATCTCGGACGTACCCAGTGAAGAAAACTCATCTAGAGCCGTAATTTCGGCTAGTTCGTTATTAAACACAAGGGGTTCTGAAACGAGATTGGCCAGGGATTTACTAACAGTGCTTATCTTGGAGTTAACAACAGCAACAACAACATCGAATAAGTTTGAAAAAGAATGTAATTCGCGTGACACTGAGCTATCCTCTTCTTCCACAATGGACACTTTTTTTACACTTATACCTAAAGTATTTAACTCGCCAGCGACTACCGTCAACACTCGATCCACGTCCAAATCACCTTTTAGAAAATGGTTATTAACGAAAATAACTCCTGCTGTATTAAACTCCATGTCCTCAAATTTACGCACTTCAACGTTGTGGTATCACAGTTTTGTCGTCATTATTTCATCACGTATTTCAAAATCCACTTAATTCAAATACATAACCTATGCTTTACATAATTAATTACTATAAGTAATTTTTTAAATACAGCGAGCCTGCTGTTAAAAAGAAGACGAACAAGAGGTTACCCTATTAAACTTTGACACGTTTGTGTTTTGTTTATATGCTCGAAAAGGCATTTTTATTAATTTTAAGAAATTTTGTTTGGAAACGATGAAAATAATCGTCGAAGGTTGTGCTCACGGCGATTTGGATACCATCTACAACTCTATAAAGGAAATTGAAGAGAAAGAAGATGTAAAAATCGATTTGTTAATCTGTTGCGGTGATTTTCAATCTTCCAGAAACTACGAAGACTTGAAATGTATGGCAGTTCCGCCAAAATATTTAAATATATGCTCATTTTATAAGTAAGTGCAAACTTTTTTTGGTAGGATCTGCTTTGATAAACTTGATTTTAGATATTATAGCGGAGAGAAAAAAGCGCCCGTTTTAACTGTTTTTATTGGCGGCAATCATGAGGCTTCGAATTTTTTGCAAGAGTTACCCTATGGGGGATGGGTAGCGAAAAACATTTACTACTTAGGATACGCGGGGGTTATAAATATCGCTGGTATACGTATAGCAGGTCTTTCGGGAATTTATAAGGGACGTGATTTCCTAAGGGGGCGTTTTGAAAAAGCTCCCTACGACGAAAATTCCAAAAGAAGCGTTTATCATATAAGAAACCTCGAAGTGTTTAGGTTAAAACAGCTGTCCAAGCCCATAGATATATTTTTGTCCCACGACTGGCCAACGGGCATTTGTAATTTCGGCAATAAGAAGCAGCTGCTCAAGAGAAAACCATTTTTCAAAGAAGACATTGAGTCCGGTCAGTTGGGCAGCAAACCGTGCGAGGAACTGTTGCACCTACTCAAACCAAAGTACTGGTTTTCTGCACATCTGCATTGCAAATTCGCCGCGCTTGTTAAACACGAGGACAATTGCATTACCAAATTTTTAGCTTTGGACAAGTGCCTGCCGAAGCGCAAGTTTCTGCAAGTGATAGACGTGCCTCACGACGATAACGAAACCATTGAGATAAACTACGACTTGGAATGGCTGACAGTGTTATATCTGACAAACCATTTATTGAACGTTAAAAATGTCAATAATTACATGCCCGGGCCTGGATGTTCGGAGAGGTATGATTTTACCCCTACGGTACAGGAAAAAGAGGTGGTTCTCAAGAAACTCAATGGCAGCTTGATGGTTCCGAAGAATTTTCGGCCCACGGCACCGGCCTACCGGCCAAACACTCCCGTCAAAAAATCAAAGAAAGCGAAGCAGCCCGAGGCCAAGTTGAACCCCCAGACCGTCGAGTTCTGCGAATGCTTAAACATGGACGACCCGGTGGCTCTCATTTCCGAAAAGAACGGCGTGAACTTAAGTCTGGACGAGGACTGCGATAACACGACTTTCGTCGACGATAGCGACAGTTCTGGAGTGTCCGAGGAGTTTCATTCGGCCCTTGAATCCGCCATAATCACCCAGGAAAAGATACTGAAAAAGATCTCGCTCCCTGAGCCCAAGAATAAGGAACAAGTAGGAAGCACGGAAGTGGCAGAAGGCGATTCCGCCGATTCGTCACAACCCGATGGTGGTGAAGCACCGAGTACCGTGGATTTGAAAGTGTGCGAAGAGAACAAAGCACCCACGTCACCAAAACGGAGTATGGAAGCAACAGTTGGGCCAAAAAAATTTAAAAGGAGAAACGCGGACATTTACACTAACTCAAACGATAGCTGACACTAGTTTAATGCTTAAATGACTTGCAGAGGTTCTTCGGACTATCTAGTCATTATCAAGCATTATAGTTCAATTTTATTTATTAGCGGTAAGACGAATATTATGGGCTTAAGAAAGAATTTTAAATACCGAAACTTTTAATAAATAAAACCTATTAGAGCACGTCGCGTGATTTGGTAAAACGAACGTTAATTTTCGGTGGGGCCAAAAAAAAAAACAATCCAATAACAGTTTCATTATGTATAAATTTAATTATTAAAATAAGACGCTTAAAAAGTAATAACAAGTTATAGGCCAAGTGTGTAAAATTATCTTCTAATGGTATCGCTACGACGATAGAACAACAAATATGGTACCCGGGTTCCTTGGGGCTTCAGCACCTGCTCCTCCTGAACCTAAAAGACATTTATGGTCCGTGGTCGTTCTAACGCTATGTTGCCGTTCCTAACAACGACATATGGCAACGTGGCTATGACATTTGTCCTGCTATTGCAATTCAAACGCAAAATATCCTATATTTCGGCTTTTTACTCTGCTACCCCTATCTAAATATGCACTATATTACAAGCTTAAATTAATTTTGATCATTTTTTGTGTAGTAGTAGTTAATTCAATTAGTTTTAAAAGATACTTCATAGGAATAGTTCTATGCTTCGGGCCTTTTGTCAGTTCGAACGGCAGCAAAGTTAAAGTGGAGAAATGTGTTAAATGTGGATTCTAAGAGTGGGAGACGACATGATTATATTGTGCTAGCTATGATGTGGCTTTGATGATGAAAATATGACGAAAACAGAGGCAACCGGAGACAGGAGTATTTTTATAATCTAAGATAATGCCTTCTATTCGGCAAATGAACAAATGCTCTTTTTGTGTTGTGCAAACTGAGAAATCCTGTAAACAGACTTCACTGTTATGAAGGCAGCTTCTATGAACTTTCTTTTCGTCCAGTGGGTTTCCTTTTGGTAGAATTCTGGCATCTCTCTGCTCTGCGAGACCTGTTGTTTCTCCATGTTGGGTACGTTTCTTGTCCATCCAGTGGTCGCTAGGTGTCGCCTACGTATGATTTTCCACTATCGCAAGGTTTTCATTGTTTGTTATATTCTCTGGTTTTGTTTCCTTATAGTTTGTCCATAACAGGATTTTGATATTTTTGGAAAATTTATGTGCTGCTTGGCATTGGCACTAGCTAATGACCTCTTCAATCAGTATAATTACTTAAATCAACTTCAACTTTGTCGTTAAGTTGCTGCAGATAATTTTTGCTCTTTTGTATAGTCATTGGATTATTCCTTGTTTGGTTGTGACTGAGTGGTTGGAAAATGCGTTTAAATATTGGGCTTTCTGTACATGGAGGTATTAATCCAAGACATCAAGGAATGATATTTACTCCAGTTTTCTCTTTTTCAATTATGACTTTTATAGACGGAGTATTGCCTAGTAAAGTAATTCAAAAAATTGTCTATCCTATCTTATTCTTTGTCCCACATTATGGAGTTGTCGTAGATGTGTCTCAACTTTTTCGGCTTCTTCCAATCCATGTCAATATTTGTTGCCAGTGGGAAAAATGGTGATCCCATCGGCAATCTTGTGCTTAGAAATGGTATTTCAATTGAAAATATGAATTGCAGCAAAACAACAGTTCTTGAATCTTGGTCCTAAAAACCGCTAGGAACTGACAAAATAATTTCCCTCATCAAAAAAAAAATGACTCCAATTTTCCTTGCCAGCTCACATGATTCTTCTTTCCAGTGACCATATTGGGTCCTTGATTAGTAACCTATTTTTTTTGTCCATCAGTGGTGATTATGGTAGTTCCTTTATCAGCCGGAGTTGACAGGTTTATCCTGTTCCGCTACCTGACACCATATTAATGCAGTTTTTATACTTTCTAGCCGAAACTTTTACCGTTGGACTTATTAGCAATGAAAGCAAATTTAAAAACACAATCAAAAAATGATTGGGGAGTTTTTGTGTGAGCCTTGTGAGTGAACGAAATTTTATATTTTCTCTTACTGCGATGGAACACTAGAGTTGGGAATTTGATTAAATAAATAAACAATGTTACCATATGATATTGTTGGAAGCGGGAAAAATATTTCATTTCGCCAGAATGTACTCAAACATTCCTGGCAATGAAATTTCGAAAAGGGATCCGTTTCTAACCGTGTATACCCCGATCCTAAATATACCTGTTTGACGGACGCGTCGTCATACCGCAGCCAGCTACTGTAACCGACGTGGAAAGCGTCGGTAACGTAGTGCCCTTTTGTCGCTTCCTTCCCGTCGTGGTACACCACGGCGAATAGCTTGTAATGTTTCTCTTTTGCCGTAGCGTTCTTCGACGAGATTAATTCTGAAACGCGATAATTGCGAATCCCGACCAGCGAAACCCTCAACTTGCCTTCCTTACTCGAATCGATCTTCAAATCGATAGGGAACTCCAGGGCTTTTAAAATTTTCGCGCAACCGTCGAGCTTAAAATCGAAACATTTCAAGTGCAAGACCAGTATGATGGGCAACTCGTCGAGCATCACTTGCTGCCACGCCTCCACCGCCTCGTTCGTTTTCGACGAGGTCACGCCCTCCAGCTGATTCTTCGTTATGAGCGCGTCAAGGGCCTCGCGTACGGTTTTCACTTTCTGAAATTCGAGCTGCCGTTAAACCGCACGGACGAAAACCTCAAAATCACCTCGATGTTCAACTGCAACGTGAAAAAGGGCTGGGTATTTTCCGTGTCCTGGTCGCCTGTTCTGTGTATCCGCGACTTCAAGGACCCCCCGAAAATATCCGTAATAGGAGTTCTCTCCACCACCGTTTTCCTCAACACACTGCCCTTGTTCTTGGAGCCCATCACCTGTATCAAAATTATTTAACATACTTAGCATACATCAAATCGACTTCATATTCGGCACATATATGCGGTTTTGCCCTGTGACGGAACCAATTGAAAATGGGGGGCTGGGGGTGTGTGTGTGCAAGGGTCCACAAAAAAGACCATTTTTCAAAAACCGTTTACAAGACCCAAAAAAGTTCTTGAACCAGAAGACGCATTGGATACGGCTCCATAAACTTTTATTCTTGACAATTGACAGGGTACGCCGCAAATTCAAAAAAACTGAAAAAATCGCAATAATTTCAAATCTGTTTTATATGTTAGCTTCTTTTACATGACGATATAGCCCATATAGACAGCTAAAGCTTTTGTATTTTAGGTTTTTAAGTATTGTACAAGGTGTTCGCGATATTCCGTGCAACATTAAAAAACATACTAAGTGCCCCAAATTTACACCTACCGACTTCAGGCTTGGGAGAGAAATAGAAGTCTGGACCCGCTTTAAATTGAGAATAATAAAATAACGCGAAGTGTTTTTTTTTAATTTTTGATTTTTTTTTTTTTGGTTATTTTGGAATCCAGAAAAACATCTTTTCCTCCAAAACCATTCATCCGATCCGAAAAATTTTACAACCGCAATACATGGGAGACCCGTTTTTTATTTTTTTAGAACACTTCCCGACCCCGCAGCGCTCTCATTTTCAATAGGTTCAGTCATCACGGGGCAAGGCTGCATATATGTGCCAAATATGAAGTCGATTGCTTTAAATTTCGGAAACTTATCGTGTTTCATAGCAAAAGACGAGAACGGAGAACGGACAGACAAAAAAAAATTTTTTTACGGTGATCATTTCTGTACCAACGGCGATCCCATAGGACCTACCGTTACCGAGATATAAAATTTTTATACGAGCGCAGATACTTTCGAAAATTCGAAAGTAACAAGCAAAAACATGATCTACGTATCTATACCACCAGAGAAATCCTTTACCCAGAGGTTTATGTATGATTATTTTGTAAATTGTCCATTAAAAAAAAAACCTTACCTGCCATTCTGACACTTTATCTTCTTCCTCGGCACGATTTGGTTGCGGGGAAATCGGCTCCTCTCCTTTCACCAGCTTGATGAGCTACAAAAAGGGTGCTTGCACTTGCGAATCCGATAAGGTAAATTGGAACTGTTATGCAAAAAGCTACCAACCAAAATTTAATGAAAAAGTTACAGATAAACGGGTAATCTGGTCAATAATGAATACCTCTTTATTCTGCAAAGTCTTTCCAACCCAATGTCGACCCTAGACCTTGAAAATTTCCATTAGTAAAAAAAAGGAATAAAAATACTTACTTTTGAGCTTTTTCATTGAGCTATCAACCCACTTGGTTGAGACACTAGATTATATAGAAGATTTTGAAAAGGCTAAAGACAATGATGAATGTGAGTGCTTGACTTTTGACCCTTACCACGAATTCCCACACCCATTGCGTTCTTTAAAAGGGTATATAACGCTCGAATGGAGTGACTAGTGTAGGGGTCAAAACAGAAATATTAAAATGACTCTTCTCCTTATTTGTATTTCACAAAATACCCCAAATGTCGAAACAATTACCCTAAATTTAGTCTCGGGACATGGCTTCTTACAGAATGACTCGATTTCAGCGATATACAAAGCAAATTGAAATCATTCCACAATGCCTGATGACTATATTGATATTACGAGAAACTGCCTTTTTATGGCGTTTCAAATATTGAAAAAATATTGTAAACGGACAACAAACTCATACAAAAGAAAAACAAAACTGACTACGTTAGATCGAATAAATTACAAAAGAATGATTCGTTTATAATCTTATTTAAAGAAAATAATTTCGCCAAACGAATACCAGGCAAGAGATATAAAAAAAATCTAACCATCCACAACCATTAGTTCACCTTTCACATCTTTAGTGCCTTCGTGGCCAAATGGTAAACTAATCTCTGAAAAGAATCTTAAGAACATAAACGAAATGATGCATTTTATACCGACTTTTTTATACCAGCTTAAAATCAAATATATTCATTTATTTATCAACGTGCCAACTGCGAAGCATAAAATAAGATTCACATAAACACAATAAAATTAAATAAAACATATAGAAGAGCTAGATGTCAATGTTGAAGCAGAGTAGATACTTAAGTTATCGAATTTTATAGTTTTCCTTCATTATTCTCTTATATGATAATTTGTTGATACTTCCTATTGATGGATTTTATTTTGCAAAATCCTCCCAAGCGACAAAATTTTTGGTATTTTTGAAAAGAATAAAAAATTAAAACCTGTTACAAGATGACACTTTTACCGTGCGTTCAATTTATCTTCATAACATTTTAATTGGCTGTAACTTTTTTGTTTTTAGAGATATTAAGGAAGACAAAAGAACGAAATGCAGGGTTAGTAGCCAATTTTTTTCCCAGTGACGTATAAAACAAAAAACTATCAATTTTCTGACATATAAGCATATTCTATTATATTCTATTCTATTAAACACATATATACATATGTGTTTAATAGAATATCTAATTCCGATTACAATGATGTAACACATTTTATATTTTAGTAAACTTGTTTTTGACAAATGGGCAAAAATACGAAATTTGTATATAATTTGAAAGAGTGCCCTGACTGACAAATAAAAGTATGTTTATCTTTGACATATTAGTAAACAAGGTTGATGGTAGAATTATTGTCCAAGTCATTATTGTTAAAATGGTTTTTCGCGAATTTAGTATCCGTGAAAAGAGTGATATCCTTCAAGTATACTTTCTGAGTATTAAAAGTGCAACCGCTGTTCGTCGTCAGTATATTAAACTTTATCCAGAGCGCCGAGCTCCTTTAAAATAGATATTTCCAAGACTGGCGAAAAAATTTGCAGAAAACGGTAACGTATTAAATACTAAACAGGAATGCCGGAATCATACTGTTTTAAATGAATGAAATTCTATGAAGCACATCCAGTTTCCTCTATTACTAGAGTATATAGAGAGACAAGTATTTCTCGGAGATTCATGCACTCAGTTTTGAAAAATATAAATATAATGCACTTAAATTTCGTAAAACTCAAAAACTAAGTGCGGAACAATGTCAAAGAAGTGTGCACTTTTGTTTGAATTTTTCAAATTGTCATAATGACAATAACAATTTTTTGAAAAACGTTTTATGGACTGATGAAAGATCGATCTCTACAAGAAAGGGCTGTAATAGGCAAAATACGCGATATTGGTCTTTAAATCATCCTAAACAAATAAACGCAATAAAAACCCAAGGGTATCAATCAATATATGGTGTATATAGATGGGCATATTTTGGGTCCTATATTTATAGATCAAAAATTAACCGGAGATCATTATTTGTAACTCTTAGAGCACCAAATAGAACAACATATAAAAGTGTTGTGCAAGTTAAAAATTTTCTTAACATGGAATATCCCAGGGGTTGGATAGGGACCGGCAGAACTATGGATTGGCCAGCCAACAGCCCCGACTTAATATTAATAGATTTTTTCTTTTGGGGACACATAAAAAATCACGTGCACAGAACTGCTTGTAATAATTTCGTGGAACTTCGGCAAAGGACTTCAGAGGCAATTAAGAGACAATCCGGAAACGTTACTAAATGCAAGACATCATAAAATTAGGGTGTATAAAAAATGTGTTTAGGAGAATGGTGGTCATATACAGTAGTATTTGGAATAGTTAAAGAATTTTTTACTTCAGTGTGTCTGGTCATTTTTAGTGTCTTTGTTTAACTTTAATTTAGAAATAAATATTGTTGTTGCACTCTTTGAAATTATACAAAAATATCCTATTTTTGCCGATTTGTCAATAACGAGTGAAGTGAAATATAAAATATGACACATATATAATATACAGGTGTTCCATTTACAAAAATATGACGTAGGCTGATATTTCAGAAAATATACCTATATTTAATATTTTGGAAAACCAATGCCATATTAGAGTAAGGTCTTCATCTATCTATTTCATTCTGTTTTAATTTTGTTTTATTTTATTGTTTACTATTTTGTTTATGTGAATCCTATTTTATATTGGGCGGTTGGCCCATTGATAAATAAATAAAATTGATAGTTTTGTTTTATTTTTCAGAGAAACTTCCACAGGCTACTGTAATACTTTTTACAAAACTTCTGGACTCCTCCTGCGTCGGTTTTTGCTGACTGTTAACTGTTTCAGTTTCAGTCAAGCTCTGAAGAAGCCAACAGGATGATTGAGGAAACGTCAGCAAGTTTGATGTAGCAAAAACCGACGCAGGAGGAATCCAGAAGTATTGTAAAAAGTGTTTTGTTTTATAGGCCACTACTAACCCTACATTTTGTTTTTTTGTTTGCCCTCGATATCTGTAAAAACAAAAAAATTACAGCCAATTAAAATATTATCAAGATAACATGAACCTTACTATTGCTACAGTTATTTTTTGTATTCGGTTTTGTATGCGTTGGTTTTCTTATTTAGAAAAAAGCTCATTTACTAATAACTCAATATTATTGATGTAAAGGTTGCAAGTTTTTTGCATTTATGCAATTCAAACTCACCTCGAGCATTTCGTCATTTAAATTATTAAGCAGGCAACAGAGGAACTCTTCGGCGTCCTCCTGCCGGCCCTCTATCAAATCCGTCCTTATCCCGTTCAACATTCGGTAGATCCAGGCGGGCTCGAAAGGGACGTCCGTGTTTATTATGACGCCCTGCTCTTTCTTCTGTTGATTTTTGGTCCCCTCGGACCTTCGATTAACCACACGCATGTTGGCCGGCATGGGCGCGAACTCTTTAACGAATTTGCATCTGCAATTCAATCAGTTTGCCCCCTCCGGATCGTTGTGAACCGCGACGAAACTCACATGCCGTCAATGACCGGAGTGGGTTTGCGTTTTTCATTCGAGGAAATATTTTTCACCAGCCCGCTGAGCAGGTTGTACATGGGCGGACAAGCGATCAACGCCTGCAGTATGGAATTTACGTAGCAATAATTGCTCTGGTTGATCAGACCCCTCGGTTGGAGGCTCACCGCTCTACCGTCTACCTTGTAGCTAGCCAAAAACTCTGGAAACGGGGGGCCCGACGACTTTTAGGCTTCGATAATTAGGGTTGGCTCCCACTTACCTCCCATCCGGTAACAATCGGGATCGACGAAATGACCCTTTTTAGGATTCTTGAAAGGACAACTTGTCCCGCCACTGTCAATGTCACGCTTCACAGCCTCGGTATGGTGTGTCTGTCTGTTAGTCCCGTTAACGGTTGAATTGACAGTGGGCTCCGTTTTCGATACAAACAAGCTGGCCCAGGTCTTTGTTTGCGCCCAGGGCGTCGGATCTTGCTTTTTATCCATCTCCTCAGAGTCCAATTTGCTGTTGTCCACTGCACTTTGTGGGGGAACAGTACTCTGAAAGTCCGGTGCAGCGCTGGATGTTAAATCTCCATTGGCGTTTATCTCGTCATTGACCCTTATTTGGGTCGGACTATTTTCTTCAATATATTCCTTCCGTATAAAATCATTTCCATAATAAGGTTCCATAACGGTGCTGTGATTTTTGACAAAGATTTGCTGCGGAGGCGGCACACCGTAATAAATCGGGCTTTTGCCCTCAAAGTTTGCGTAAACCGTTGAAACCGGGATGGTCCCATAATTTTGCGGGTTTATCTGGATGGGCACTGGAACCATAGGTGGCAAGAAAGGACCCGCATTGAAATAATGATTGCTAATTGGTCCACCCTCGATTTGCAACCCATAATGTTGGTTGATAGGAGGATGGGTATGGTTTTCAAACTGGTGGTACGTGTTTTGATCTGCCGTAAGTGTCGCAATCCTCTTTTTCAATCTCCTCTTTGGACCTACATAACGGGCACTCTATATATAATGCCAAAAAATTTCAATACCACAACCGCAAATGTTTTGATTTGATTACCCTGCTCTCTGAACCCGAATTTTGGATGCCCCACTTACCAACAAAGGCAGACTTTTCACCACCAATAAACCAAGGGAAATCGTCTCCTTGTCTGTCGGAGTATAACGACGATAAAACTCTGTTTCTTTCAAACTCGTCAACCTCACTCAGGTCAAGAAATTGCAAATCCAGCTGCAAAACAAAAAAACTAGGTTATGTCGATCGTGAATATTTCCGGAGAAAAACCAAAGCGGTTTGTATTATTGTCGAGCATAATAATAATAGCGTGTTTTAACCGGAAGCGTGCGGTGTTAAATGTGCGAAGCGAAATGGCAATACTCACCGTGCTAGTGATATCCATGACGCCTGTTCTATTATAAGACTAGAGTTAAATGGATTCCTTTACCGGCGACGGCATCGAAACGTACTTCGCTTTTTTTTCTATTTAAGCGGGATTAATTTTTCGTCGTCCATTGCTATTACGGTGTTCAGCATTCGTTCGTCAAATTTGACAGTTTCGCGAGAGAGGAGCCAACCAAATTTCTTCTTTTCGAGCCGATCGGCCGTCGGTACAACCGGCCTTTTCCGATACTCAAAAGTGGGTTGGCTATACTTAAGCGTTTCATCAGTGTGATGGTAGCACACGATCGAATGTTCCAATGGTCGAAAATCGCGAATGGTGTTCGGGTTCGGGCGGGGTGGTGGTTTGTAACAGCCGATCCGCCAACAGCTGGGACGTGACGTATATGTGATGGAGTGACAGAATATTTAAGTTAGAACCATATATATAATGGCAGTAGGTATATGACCTTTCCTGGTAATTTTTGAAGTCTTAAACAAATATATTTGACATTTATTAAAGAAATTACTGGTACCTAACTCTTAATAATGTGTATAAAGGTAGTTGCTACTTTTATCATAAAAATAAAAAAAAATGGAGTAAATACTATGTTTTGGGAATAATTATTAAAAAGCTTGTGCTTAAAATTTTTCATTTCAAGATAACAATCCGAACAGATATATTCTGCTACACCAACACAACAAAAGATTTGGTGGACCGTTAGGGACATTTCTGGCAAACGATGTACGTCCTGTATCTTTAAAACGACCACCGTTTTCCTAATTCGTATTCGGATTATAGTTACAAGTATCGACTGTTAAATTACAAAATCTGCCATTTGACCGAGATACCTCGCGAGGCGGGACTCACCGATACTTTCCGAAACGGGACCGAACGCTGTTCGGAAGTTTCGACCATTTGTGGTGTTATATTGTGGGGAGGGGATTTTGCGTTAAGCGAATACGTTCGGGCTTCAGACTTTATTGCACTAATTGTCGATAACTACAGCATAATATCTGCGTTGAATCCATAAATAAAATTTTACTTCCTAAACTAATGCGTATACGTCTTATGCGTGGCGTTTCAAAACCATTATTTATAATTTCGACGCCTGAAAGTGACAAATTGCTAAATATTTGTTTTCTTTGAAGCGTTAAATAAGGGGCGGGGTTCTAAACTGACATCGCTTATCTCTTTAATAAATAACCACGTAATAAATCGTCTTAATCGCCTTCTTCCTAAACGGCGAATAATTTTGTCCGCAGCCGGCGACACTTTCCTAAATAAATCAGTAGTAATAGGATACGTCTTTATCCCTGACGACGGCAGGGTGCTGACCCGATGACACCTCGTCCCCCCAGGGGGCGTGGTTGTTGAGGTGGTGAGAGTCCCTTTCGGGATGGTAAGGTGGACCATCTGCGGAAGCATCCGTTCGCTGGAAACTGAAGGGCCAGGTCTAAAAAGACGCAACTTCGTCGTTATTTAGTAACGCTTTTGTGGAACGTAATTCAAAAATTAAAAATGAAGTTGAAAAGGATAATTAAGTATAGATTGACAGTCAATGTTTGATGAATTTAATATTTATTTATTTAATGTTAAGCATTTGTTCATTTGTTACGCATTATATCGGATGATGCATTCCCGAACGGAACGTAGGAAATCACATAATTATGGCTCCCCTGCGCATATCAAAGTTGTAATATAACTTTGAGTTTGAATAAATTTTAATATGCCAAGCTTTAGTTATTGAATTAAATCTGATACTATTTCCAAAACTTGATGACGCCAGGCTAGGCAATGACATATCAAATAAAGGTTTCATAAACTAAGTATGTAGATGTATCGTTATGTGTTTTTTAGGATGAAACTCGTACTCGGTTCTTAATATCTGCTTGTTCCTTGTCATTTAAATGACGGTTTAGGCCACGAGGGAGCTTCAAAAATCGACTATACTAACACTTCTAACATTGTTTAGTCGATAGTGTGAAATCCTGTCACATTTTAAGGAAATAGTTTGTTTTGTAACTAGTTAAGACTTTCAAAGTTAACATTTTTATAGATAACACTTTTCAAGTGACCCCACAGAAAAAAGTCGCTTGGCGAGAGATCAGGTGACGTGGATGACCAAGGGATGCAGCACTTTGGGCCAACCTCTTCTGTGTGGGTTCAATTTAAGTTTGTAATAAGTCCAAATAGGTTTCTGCCGTGAGGTCATAGTCCATAAAAAATGACCTAATAATATGATGTCCGCAAATTCCCAACATAACATTTTTTTGGAGGATATCCGGTTCGAGTACAAACAAAACGATATTCATTGTCTTGGCTCAAATTCCGACAGTTTTGAACATTTGGTCTGTTGTTGAGTGTCTAAACAAAACGCTACTCTTCTTTCTTTATTGCCTTCCCGGAGCTCTTGGCGCTTTTCGTATTTATAGGAAAAATATTGTAGTGTGATATTTACTCACAGCTTGTCCAAGAATCTTTCTTCTGCTCTATTATCGACATTTTCAGTTATTTATTACGGTGCCTTTGGACTAGAGTTGGAGAATAATACGTTTAATTGTCGAAATCGAAGGTTTAGTTTTAGCAGTAAGTTCTTTAATCCAAAATCCAAAATACTGTCCAATATTTCATATTGTAATGTAGTTTAATGGCCTGAATTAGTTCAAAAAGACAAATTCAGCATTCAGCAGATTCAGAATTTCAGTTTTAACTGAAAAAATCATCACCATGCATAGCCTATGGTGAAAATCACAAAATGGACGCAGTTTAGTTTAAGTTAGTTTTAATTATTTCTAGTTTCCTCAAATTTCGTGAAAATAAATAATAATCTTAGTATAAAGGTCGCATTTTCGGCGGGGAATTTTTTGCAGTAACCACCATGCAATTTTTGCTAGCAAAACGTTTTTAAATTTTGAGACAATAGACGACACTCTTTGGTAATGTTAATTCTGTTACATTTGGTGCTAATTGTTTATTAACTTGTTTTATACTAGTTTTTAAATTTCTTTGATACATTTTCCAATATTTACAGTTTTTAACGAAATTGTCCATAGGTACTTTTCATAATAATATATTTGGGAGGCGGAAACGAATGACCGCTCTGTCTATAACAGGTGCTTATATTTACACTTTTAGAGTCACATTTCGTAAATTCGACTTTATTTACATTTTCAATAGAGGTTAAACCAATAATTATAATAAAAACAAATTGTTCACATAACGCTTAAAGAACCAAAACGCTAAAATACTTACAGAATTATACTAAGGACGCCGATCCGTCTGCTGCAATTCAGCATAATATTAACTCTGCACTTGTCGCTAATTTTTTTAACAGCACTTTCTACACCTTAATTCTTTTTTTGCCTGAAAATTTAATGGGATTTCGACATATTTTGAGACAATTCTGGCATAAAAATGCAGTAAATTTCAAATCTCGTGCATGCAGACCTCAAAATTTTGTGACAGTTGCTTTACGAGTTTCTGTACAATTAGCATAGGCAGGGCCTGTATATCTAATAGCTATATGTTCTTAACCATTACATAGTTAACATTTATCGAAATAACTTCAAATTGACATTAAAGTCAATGTACTTACTGCACAGCCCCTTAAAAATTGAAATTTGTTTACTTTTTTTAAGGGTAATAAATAAATATCGTTTTTTTGGTTCCATCTCGCGAGTGCTTTTGCAAAGTCCGAATTTTAACAACATTTTTTTATCGGCGAGCAAACATCTCGCGTCACTCAACCATCAAAACACGTTTCCGGATATATTTAGACGACGTTTACGTTCGAGGATGTACTTCGCTTAACAAAACACGTCTCGGGTGTCGTACGAATCATTCCCGAAGAGAACGGCGGCAAATGGATCCAGCTGGCGCTTTTTTGGCCGCTCGCGCCACGATCGTTTACTTTGCACGGGCGTAAATTTAACGCCGTTCGTATACGATTAAATAAACTCGGACCGCTTCCTGCACTCCTTGTCCGAGTATTTGTTTTCCCGAGATTTATCACGATCGCAACCGAAAGATTGAAGATAGATGGCGTGGTTTCGTATTTTGAGGTTATGTTTGCATATTTCTGTTTTGGATTAGTTTATTTAATTAACATTTTCAAGCCCAGACAAAAGAATTTGGAAAAGAAATGCTGCTGCTAAAAATTTGTTGCTACCTTAATGAAGGGGGCTTAAAATTGGTTAAACGAGGACCATGAACAGTTTAAGCAGCGTTTGGGGATGTAAAAAGAAAGCTCTAATAAAATATTGATACATGTGAAAGTCTAGGTAATTTTCGCATCTTTCAAAAAAAAAACTTCGAAAGGAATTAATTTTTATTTTGTTCTGCTTTGAAACAATCTCACCTTTTCCTAGACATAAGAGATAGGTAAAAAAACATGAACCTTGTGTCACATAAATTTCAGTTTGTAAAGTGTTTAAATATTTTGACGTGAAATGGGAGAAGTTTCGGCAGTGTTACATCCGTCAGTTTCCTTTGTTTTATAGAGATACAGATAGCCCAATTTTCTAGTTCTACTACTAGTAAAAGATTTTCAAAACAAGATTTCAAATTCATGTGATTATTTAACATCCACAACGTAAAAACAAATTCTAAGAGGTAGTTTACCAAAACATAACCTTTCTTTTTTATTCATTTTACATGGTTGGTATTACTGAATTGACCTTAAAATTGACGAAAATTAGTACAAGTTCCATTTCGTGAATTAATTCACGAAGAATTTTGATATAAAAGTCGTGGTTTAACCAAAGCAATATAAAGTATAGTTTTTTGTTAGTCACGATCCTTTTTATTCTGTGCATACATACCTATTTATTCAAGGCAACACCTCTTGGTGGTGGTTGGAACTGCATCAGTGGGAATTTTGCAAATTTTGACGTAACGTTAATGTTCAACTAGCATTACGAATAACGTAATAAAGAACCAAAAAACATGTTCCTAGGATCCTTGAAATTAGGTTTTGAAAATAGAGAAAATCACCTCTTGGAGTTTGGCATATAAAAATTTGAATAAACAAATTTCGGTAAATATTATACTACTTCCATTTATTTCTTTTTTCTGTTATTTTTGCATTTAATTGTCTTAGTTTTAGGCAGTATCATATAGGGTAAACCAAAACTGAGGGAGAAAGTTTGCTTTGCAAACTGTTTGCTGTGATCTTTTACGTGTGTTGCCTGTGATTGGTTCCTATGGTAACCATGTAAGGTGGGACAAAGTACGAGCAACGAATCAGTGGCGCGCGTGATAGTACCGAAGTAGTAGAAATGCATAAATATTTTATTGTCATTTGGTAGATTTCTGGTAATAGACTTTCATATTTTGACAAGATTTCTAAATGATCAGCTTTTCTTTCTACTGGAGCTATTTCCAGGTATTCCCGATATTTGTCCCTGTCCGTCGTATAGTTTTTTTACATTAATTATATTATATTTTTATTCATTTCCAAAATAACATATGTTATTGACCAATAAAACATGTACTCATATTAATTAATTCTTAATTACACATCCTAATGACGATTACCGAGACTGTAATTAAATAACCTAACGCACTGCCCTCACAGAAATGAATACGTAATATTTAACTATTATTCAAATAATTATTCCAAAAAAAAAAAATTCGATTATCTCAATTATCCGGTTATGCCCATCACTAGTTGAACGACTTCATCTCAATGGTGTAAACATCAGTTCCTTGTTACTTGATAAAAGTGCATTTCTAACCAACCATTCCTTTTTTTATTTTTAACAGTGTACACATCATCAGGCTGGCACGTCATACTTTGACAAAACAAAGTTTGTTTTGACGTGCAAAAAGACAGGTTTATGCAAACATTTTGAGTAATAAAAATTAATAAGCATGTTTTTAAGAGTTCAGTTTTTTTCCTTGGGGATATCGATGGGTTCATAATTACAAGAAAAGTGTATCTTACAATGAAATGTATTATTAAATCTATTTTTATTACTATACACTTTAAACGTTAATCAGCCTTTTCTGTACGAAATTATTGTAAGCAATAGTTGGTTAGTTTGTAAATAAATCTTGAAAAAACGATGTATATTGTGCTTATATAGCTTATTTAGAGCATTTGGTATTTTGTTTAGTTTTATTGTTTTATCATTAAAAAATGTCTAGACTAAACAGATTCAACTTTTATCTATTTTTAAAATAACAAAATGATTTTTAACTTTTAAATAAACCATTTAAAAATAATTAGGTTTACTTTACTTTTGTCAAAAATGATAGACAATTAAAAAATATGTATTTGTTTCATATGTTTACTCAAAAAAGAATTTAAATATTTTTTTTTTACTATAACCCGAGCATATGAATTTCGAATAATTCATAGATAATCGACACATTGGTTATTTATTATTCGATTAACTGGAAATAAAAACCGAATTAAACAGGTTATTTTAAATACCAGATGACAGGTTATTTTTCATTCGAATAAGCCCATCACTATGTTTAGCCTTCATCCTACGTTTTTGTGAGAATAGTGTGTTTTTAACATTTTAGGAGAATTTAGGAAAATAGTCATTGAACATATTCAAAGGCTTTCCAAGCATTCGTCAAATATGTTTATGTAATTGCCTTAAAAATAAATAAGAATTGTTTCTTACGAAAGTAAAGTAATTATAGATTTGATATTTGTGTTTTTAATCCACCTACGACACTATACAAACAGTTGCTATAACAATTCACAGAAGTTTGTTAAATATGTCATATTTATTATGTGCAACACGATTGTGACAATATTCATCACGCGCACCAATGATTCGTTGCTTCTACTTTGTCCCACCTTACATGATTACCATAGCAACCAATCATAGTTAGGCAACACACGTAAAAGATCCCAACAAACGGTTTGCAAAGCAACTTTTAACCCTAAGTTTTGGTTTACCCTGTCTGATACCGCCCAAAATTTAAAAAAATAATTCCAGAAATAAAAAAAAAATGAAATAAGCGGATTTACTAATTGGTTGCTAGTAAAACGTTTACCGAAATTTGTATTGTCAGAAATTTGCACTCACAATCAGGTGTTGCCTTGAATTAATATGCATGTACAGAATAGGATGAATCGTTACTAACCAAAAATTGAACTTCATATTGCTTTGATTAAACCTTAACATCCTAAATATTCGCTCTAATTGATTTTACATGACATGAGTGCATATTAATTATTGCCCCAAAACTTTCGCTAAAACTTCTTAATTAAGTTTTATTTTTTAAATTACGATTTTTCGACTGGCTTTTATCCTCTTTAGAAGTGTTGAGTGTTGAGAATTGAAAGTGTGGATAAAGACATCAATTGTCAGTATTATATAAAAAGTGCCCTCAGAAGTTTAACAACTTATTTACTGTGATCTGATATATTTTTTTAATACAAATCAACTTTTGACGTCGACTGTCGCTTACCAAAGTAAGAGGATGCTTATGGAGATCCGCGGGTTCCGGTTGGTCCATCAAAACAGCTCTGAGATGGGCGATGTAGCTGGTAGCAAGCCTCAGAGTATCCAGTTTAGAAAGCTTGGTGTCCGCAGGCACCCATGGCAAAGTGGTTTTCAGTCTAATTAATTTAATTTGGAATGTAGTTAGAAAGGGTGATACGAGAGTCTGTGAAAAATCGATATCTCATAATTTCGGACCATCGGACCATGATGCTTTTGTGTACAGAAGAAGAAGCAGAACACGACCCTGGTTAGTTCATTTGGCATAATTCACAGTAATCAGATTTATTTCGTTCAAAGCAGACTACATCTGTTTTTGAATTCAGGTGAAAAATCTCAGACAATACGCACATTTCAATTGCTTTACGACAAATTGACGAATTGATAAACAAAAGTAAAACTTAAGAATGGTAAATACAGCTGAAAACTATATTAATTTGTAGTAACTTCTTAATTGATGCATAGCAATGAATGACATGACTTGCAACAGAAAAACTTTGCAAATTTTTGATTTCTGATAAAAATTGTGGTTTTTATGATATCATTTAATTTTCATTTATTTTATTTATTATTTTATTTTTTGTAACCGTCTGTATTTTAGACAGGGTGTCCAAATAGTGTGTCAAATTAAAATGTGTCGTTTATTATATCATTAAAATGTTAAATACGAAAATCATAGACAAAACTATAAGATACAATTTAAAATTATTATCAAATATATAGGGTGGTTCATAAATATGTGGGAAACCGAACTTTTTAAAATGGAGTATCCTGTGTATTGTGCCATTAACACACACTCCCTTTTATACTCAAACGTAGGGTTGTTAGGGCTGATACTATGCTTCTCTTGAAATTAGTTCAAATCGTTTATACAGGGTGAGTCAAAATGAACATTATTAATTCTTTTACGGTTTTATATACAGAAAATAGTCTCTTTCTTAGATCAGGAGGTCTAGGCCGCCATTTAATCGAACCACCTCTCTTTATTCACCGCTGAGGAAATAAATTATTTAAGTAGTTGATGAAGGAACCAAGTTTTCCGCGTCACTTTGTCTGAAATAGTTTTTAACTCAGCTCTAAAAGTTTAAGTAATACCGATTTTCAAAAAAATGAGACCCTACGTAGCAAACATTTAAAGGCCATTTTTCCTGACTGTGTGTCATCATAAAATGAAAATTCGTATGTAAATAAGTTGTACGGATATATCTTATTTTTTCGCAAAAAATACTTTTCGCAGAACTCTTGAGAAATTTGTCGTACACTTACGTGTGAGTTTCCTGTGACACTAAGTAATACTTGGAATTTATCTTTCTCGTTCACTTACTTTCATTTTTCTTGGCTTATTGCAATGATTCCTCACAATGTGAGAATTTTTCAGAGTTTTGTGCGTAAAAATGTGTTTACCTTACGTATAGTAAAAATGTTTAGGCTTCATCTTATGGCCAGGTCCAAAATACCGTCACCATATTGGATTTTTGCAGTGTATTTATTACCTTTTTATTCATGTATCGCAAATTGTATTTTTGTTCTCCAAAAATCTGTGAATTTTCAGATCCGTCGATGACATCTTAATATCTAGTATATTACTGCGTCGTTAAAAACTGTCAAGATGTATCTTGAAAGATGACATGACATGTTTAAATTATTTATTTAAGACAAAAATATAGCGATAGAATGGATGAGGAAAAGAAAATTTAGATAAAAGTTGGCATTTTGCAGATAAATATGAATCCGGGAAAGTCCACACGGCGCCAAGTTTACTCTGACGTAGTTGCTTCTTCTCGTACGAGTGCACCTAAAAAAAATGGTTTCAAATGCTACAAAATTCATAGCATATTAAAAAAAATAGAACATGGAGTTTATCGTCGAATGCTGTAGATGTGAGGTGCAAAATGCAAATAAAAAGAATAATGTCTCAATATCGGTCTCCTAGGGGCAGTTCAAAATGGAGCAAGTGCTGCAAATGTGTACGAGCAAAATTTGCTTCCGAAGTAACAAATGTTTGAAACTTTTTCGCTGGGTTCCCCTATGTATGTAATTGTTTTAAATTGTTCGTGTTCTGTATTAGGTTTCGGATAAATAGAGTTTACTGTTTTCTGGATTTGTTTTTTATTTATATATAATTTTATCTATAATGGACGGATTGCAGCCGTTGTTCAGTGCAATTTGTTTAATGATATTAAGTTCTTTGTTGTAATTTTCTGTTGAGAGTGGTGTATTAAAAAGTCTGTGTATGTGAAATGCCGCCATTTTGTGTGTATTATGTATGACTGAGTCCTTGTGTGAAGGTTAATGGTAGATTTCTTTCGAAAAATCGTCGTTGAGCGGAGCAAGTTTGTAGTGCCTAGCGCACAGCGGCTTTTTATTTTAAAAAGAAAGAGCTTCGGGGTTTCTTGTGTTAGAAGGACGCTTCATTTTTCTATCGTGCTTCTGCGGACCACTATGGCACTGTCGCAAAATCGATGTAATTTTATTGTGCATACAACCTGTATAAAGTGTTTTTTACTTATCGCCGAAGTTCAAAGTCACAACAGACCTTGATAAATAAAAAACATGTAATGACGATTTCCAATGAAATTATTCCAAGCATATATATCTTATCCACCCCGTGAACGGTTAAAAAGGAACAAAATTTGCAGCCTGTAGCTCAAACCGTTCGGAATTTATTGTCAAAAAACCCTGCAACAGAGAACGGAGAAATCTAGAACGGATTACGGAGAACAGACAAAAAATAAAAACGTTTTTATCGATGCTGATTCCATCTGTAGCAACGGCTACGCTGTACGATGCACCGTCATCGAGATCTCGAGTTTAGTGAGGAGCGGGTATACTTTCGAAAAGAATCGATTTCATCGATTTTTAGAAAGTAACAAGATTGCTTTCGAAAAATCGTCGCAGGGCGGAGTGCGAAGCAGCTTTTTATTTTAAAAAGAAGGCGTTTCGCGGTTTCTTGTGCTAGAGGAAAGCATTGTTTTTCTATCGTGCTCGTGCGGACCACTATGGAACTTTCGCGAAATCAATGTGTGCATTGTACAAAGTATCTTTCACATCCCGTCGAATTTCAAAGTCACTTTGGTAAATACAAACATTCGAGCAAATAATAGCGATTTCGATATAGGGATATTTTTTCAAATACCTCGCACACCCTCTATGATACACGGCAAATTTCAGGATCTTATATATTTATCGACACGCCCTGTACATAATTGAAAACCTGCCAGAAGTAGAGGTTATGGTCCTAGATCTCCCACGTTTTCCGGTCCATGAATTTTTCCAATAGAGTAAATAGTTTTCCAGAAAATAATTAATTTTTGAAACAATGCAGTACGTCGTCATTGAATTTTTTCAAATATCTCGAGCAACGTACGTAAATACAATGATAGCAGCTCTCGATGTGGCCTACAATACTGATTGGACTAGTTAGCCAATTTTTTCACGAATTTTGATTTAAGGTCAATAATTTGCTTCGGAAAAGGTCAATTTTCAGTTTCGTTTATATTTTTGTCCATAATTGAAGAACCCTGTAACTGATTGAAAAAATGTCCGAAATAAGTGTTGAATCTTCCCCGTACGCTGGTTAAAGAATTTTCGAGATCGGCTTAACAGTTTTAGAGAAAATAATTTTCTTCTGAAAACCGAAATAACAGAATTTTTTTTTTAATTTTTAGAAAATACTTTGCGGCATTTGATTACGTCCTATTTTAAAAGTGTAAGTGTGGGTCGGGACTTCTACCTCTCTGCGAAATCTGAAGTCGGTGGCTGCAAATTTGAGACATCTACTACATGTTTTAATATAGCACATAATATCCGGAACACCCTGTACAATATGTGGAAACTTTAAATACAAAAGTTTTAGCTGTCCATACGGGCTATGTAAAAAAAATGGCAACATAATCACAGCCTTCTTGTTATGATCAATTATCATCGCGAAGGGAGACCGATTTTTAGTTTTTTGCAAATTACCGACGCACCCTGTACATTTTTAAAAAATCATAAAGGTTTTGGGTCCGGATCTTGCGCGTCGTTTGGTTAAAGAATTTTTTCGATCGCATATACCGCCTGCAAATGCGGTTTTTAAATTTTTAAAAATACTTGCCGCCCCCCAGCCCTCCCATTTTCAATAGGCTCCATTACGGTGCTAAACTCTATATGTCTGTCAAATTTCGAGTGGAGGGCTTCAAATTTCGGACACTTATCGTATTTCGTAGCAATGTCCAAAAAACAGTCGAAAATCTAAAAAAAAAGATGGACGACTTGGTTTGATCGGACTCATTTTTTACTGGTTTTTGTAGCTCGTGCACTGCTTAAAAGAAGCCAAACCTGAAGGCCATGTTGCAATATATAGATATAGGCAATTAATGATAGGTCTACAGAGAGACGGAGAACGGAGAACAGAAGATCAGAAAATTAAAAAAAATTTTTTCGACGCTGATCATTTGTGTACCAATGGGGGATTTTTCCAAAATTCGATTTTTCACAAACCGATCGATTTTTCGACGCAGGAAAAAACAAAAAAACTCGCCTGCAAAACGCTTTGCTAAGCACCCGCATCCTGGCCCGTTCCCTTGCGTTGGCAGCGTTTCTCTGAGGATGTCTAACATCGTCGAAATCTTCGTCGGAATCTTCCGAACTGATCGATCGTCGTTTTCTAGGCATGGCGCGTTTTGGAAAACACCGAATCGCGTCAGCGACTAAGAGGCATCGCGAGATTGCCGAAATTTTGACGAATTGCCCGAGAAAACGAAGGCCGGGGTCGTGGGCGGCGACGACACGAAACCACGCCCCTTTCATTCTACGATCCGGCCAATCGGAGGTCCGTCTGCGGGTTATTGACGTCACGCAGAAATTATTTTAGGAACGACTGTGTTGATTTCATGTCATGTGCAAACGATGTGAAGAATCTTATTTAAAAAAAAAGGTTTTTTGAACCTCCCGAACATAAGTTTTTGCTTATTTCAGGTATTTAATTTAAGTTTGTAAGTAAGTGAAAATAAATATCGTTATAATACATGTAGTTTTGGATTGTTGCTTTTGTGCCACATGAGGAAGGGGTTTTAGTCAACTGTCTACTGTGATATCTTGCATTGTCCATTACAATGACGCTCTTAGGAGGGATAATTGGAACTAGCTTGTTTTTAAACCAACTTTCAAATAAATCAGCGGTGGTGTCTTCATGGTAATCCAGAGAAGAATCTTTAATATTTTTCGCAGACACTTGGAATCCAACCATCTTTAGGGCTTCCAAAAAATTTAATTTTCTACTTTTTGTGAGTTCTGAAAGCTATTTTTAAACCATATTTTGACAAATGTTTTGAAACTTTTTCACTGGGTTCTCCTATGTATGTAATTGTTTTAAATTGTTCCTGTTCTGTATTAGGTTTCGGATAAATAGAGTTTTCTGTTGTCTGGATTTGTTTTTTATTTATAATTTTATCTATAATGTAGCCGTTTGAGCGCAATTTGTTTAATGATATTGAGTTCTTTGTTGTAATTTTCTGTTGAGAGTGGCGTATTAATTATTATTATAAAAGAGTGAAATGCAGCGATTTTCTGTGTATAAGGGTGATTTGAGCTGTTATGTATGACTGTGTAGAGGTTTATGATAAATGGAAAAATCTCATTTAATTTCCGTTTTCGTAATAGTTAAGTCTAAAAAATTAATAGACATCCTGTTCAATCTCGATAGTGGATATTATACGATTATGTAATGAGTTAATGTACTTTAAAAAAGAATTCAATTGTCTGTCCGTTCCAACACAGCAAACACCACCACGTATTGAAGATAGAAAACTTTTACTTAATGGATGTTGTAGTATGATATTTTTCAAATTATCCATGAAAATCTCTGCTAACAAAGGACTAAGTGGGTTTGCCATAATCAAACCTTCCTAAGAGATGTAAATCTGTCCATTAAATTCAAAATAATGTTGGTCTAAAGGTACTATTAAATATAGTAAATCTTGTTTCACCAATGGGTTAACCTGTTTCCGAGTGAGGGTGAAATCTATCACATCCATAAGTGGAATACTGGGAAGTCAATAGTGTTGCGTTGGAAGGGATTTTGATATCTTAAATAACTATTATTATTAAATTAATTGGCGTTTTTCTATCTCAATAAAACCCATTTGAAATATTTAACTGAAGCTGCAGATCTTTAGTTTTGATTAGTTGTCCAAAGTAGAAACTTGTAGAACAACAATATGGCTATTGTCCAGAAATCGAAAGCTAATTATTTTTAAACTGAAATATCTGAAAAACGACTAAATGAAATGTCAATAAACTTTATTTTTTTGAAATCAAGAAAAAAGATCTACGATTTAAGCTAATAATAAATAGGGGATTACATTAAAAAAAATGTTCTGTCATTTTGACAGCTCGCGATAGTCGTTTGTTTTTTCTGACATTTGCAAAAGATAATAGAGCAAGAATCTTCAAACTTTTGTATTTACACTTACAAACTTACAAACATCTACAAAAATTAAATAGAGCAAGAAGATGCATTTCGGTGGAAATACATAATTATGAAAAAAGCAAAAATACAAAATTAATAAATTTAACAAGGAAAACTGTGTCGAGAGAGAGTTTCACGTTTCATCGTAATACAGGGTGCGCCAGATATTAAATTACATTAAAAAACATTAAATGTAAAAATTTTTGAATTTACAAAAGTTTGCCCAAACTTGGAAGTTTGACGAGATGTGAAAGGCACTTCATATAGGGTGCGTGCACAGAAAAATTATATCGATTTTGGGAAAGTTCCATAGTGGTCCGCAGGAGCACGATAGAAAAACAGTGCGTTTGTCTAAGACAAGCAACCGCGAAGCGCCTTCTTTTGGAAATACAATGCTTCTTCGCGCTACTTGCGACGAACTTGCCGCGCCCAGTGACGATTTTTTGAAAGTATCTACGCTCGTTTAAAAATTTTGTATCTCGGTAAGGGTGGGAAATGATCAGCGTCGAAAAAAAAATTTTTTTTGACTGTCCGTTCTCCGTTCCCCTTTCTCGTCTTTTAGTTTTTCCTGAATAACTTTCGAACCGCTGTAGCTATAAAAGCAAAACTTGCCTCCCTTTTAAACCTCCACGAAACACATAAGTTTATAAGAAATGGCCCTGATCTGACGAAGACATCCATCTTTTTTTTCGCGATTTTCGACTGTTTTTTGGGTATTGCTATGAAACACGATAAGTGTTCGAAATTTGAAGCAATCGACTTCATATTTGGCACATATATGCAGCTTTGCCCCGTAACCGAACCTATTGAAAATGGGGGAATGGGGGGTCGAGAAGTATTCTAAAAAAATTAAAAATCGCGTGTGCCCGGGTCTACAAAAACGCAGAAGATCCAGTGCAGTAACATTTATTTCGGGCATTTTTTCGATTATATACAGGGTCTTCAAATTATACTCAAAAATCTAAAAGACCTAGAAAATTGTTCTTGTACAGAGTAAATTATTAGCTGCAAATCAAACATCGTAAAAAATATGGCTAATTGGTTCAAACGGTGTCACAGGCCGCATCAACAGCTTCAATTTTTGCATTTGGGGTTGCAGACATACGCTGCTCGGAATATTAAAATCGCTATTTCGGGGGCTCAGTCAACACGCGATGACGTCATTGATTATTACGGCGCACTGCATGGTTTCAGAAAAAAATTATTCTCTCGAAAACCATTTACTATTTTCAAAAAATTCTTGGACCAGGAAACGTGGAAGATCCAGGGCTATTTAAGAGGCCCCGAAAATTTCTGTTTTCGTGGATAAATTATTAGTTGTAAATGAAAAACTATAAAACATGGGATAATTTGGGTTAAACAGTCTGAAGTATTCTGTCGACAGAGAGAGATTTTTTTTATATTTATCAAAGTTTGTCGTGACTTTGAAATTCGGCGATAAGTAAAAGGCGCTTTATACAGGATATATACACAATATAATTACATCGGCCACGTTAGAAAAACGTTGCGTCCCTCTAGGACAAGGAAACGCGAAGCGACTTCTTTTTGAAAATACGAAGCTGCTTCGCGCTACCCGCTACGAAGTTGCCCCGCCCAGTGACGACCTTTCGTTCTTCTTCAACTTTTTTCCTTACTTCCAAAAAAATCTTATTCTGTGCTATCTGGGACAATGATTTTTCTTTTTAAATCAGGCTTTAACAGTATCTGGACGGCCAAGATTTATTTCAAGCCTTTATTTACTCCAATGTAATTTTTCATGCTGTTTGCGATGAACGTTTTTTATGATTCATTTTATTATTTGCTACTTGACAATTACGTGCCCTCTTATAAGTTTCAGTAATTCGATAATAAGTTGATTATGCGTCTGTGTTTTTTTTATAATTGTATCGCAAATAAACCTTATTAATATTATCGTTACCGTAATATTTTCACAAACAAACTTAGCCCCCCCCCTCTCCTATTGCACCCCTGACTGTTTGCTTATTATTTTAGGATCGTGCCGTAACAATATACTTTCTGTCCGCAAGACATATGTTTCGAGTACGTCTCCGCTTCACACGGGTCTTGTGTTTATTTTTCGTCAAAACATATTGTTTTCCGCTGTCGTCTTTTTAACCGATCACATCTTCTATCGACTTGGTCACCCTGAGATCAGTCAAAGACCTGCACGGTCTCAACACGTCGGATTGTTTCGGCATCAACGATATCGTCGCGTCAACGCTGGACGATCTTCTGGATCTGTAGGAAACCGCGTTCGGACTGTTCGAAGCCACCTCCATGGGCGGAGGTCTCTCCAAGTAATGGCCCGACGACCCTATTTCGCTCCTTAACCACGGATCCTCGGCCACCCTGGCGGATATCATTACGCGCTTATTTATGGCGTAGCCTTTCTGCCCCATGCATCACCATGCGTCATCAATAGTGCTGGACGTGTACGAAAAAATATTAAATACGAAAGTCATGTGGTTTGAGACGAAGTTTTATTTTATTCTATTTCTGCATATTCGGGACAGTCAGTGTTGTTTGGGTACACACAACTTTATTTTTTTTTTAAGGGAATACCCTGTATATTCCACTCAAGTTTCTGGGAAAATTTCATATATAATGTTCTATACCCATGTCTCACTTTTGACACATTTTCATCTCAAATATGTTATTTGCAGGTCATAAGAAAAATACCAATCTTTATTTTTTAATTTGGGTTTAATATCTCGTTGACAAGAACCTACTTTAATAGAATTTTTATAATATTTCGACAACTTATAATACAGGGTGTTCAAAAAGTAGAAGTAAATACTAATTTAGGAAAACTTCCAAAAATCATTGTGTTTGAAATGGAAAATTTCATAACTTTATCTTATTTACCATTAAAAATAAAGGTCAGTTTGTATAGGATAGTCTATGCTATACTGAAAATGTTTAGTTTTCGAAAGATTGACAAATTAATATTCTTATATGACGATTTTGCTGCGGGTTTCAATCTTTTTTATATATATATTCTTAGTTGGCTATGATAGCGCTAAAAATGAACTATATTCCATAGAAATGTATAAGTTTCATTTTATTATATTTTTGCATATACATGGCACACAACTTCACTCAAGTTTCTAGGAAAATTTCATATATAATGTTCTATGCCTATGTCTAATGGTTTTTGACATTTAAGTTTTCATCTCAAATATGTCATTTGCAGGCCATAAGCAAAATACCAATCTTCATTTTTTAATTTGGGTTTAATATCTCGTTGACAACAACCCACTTTCATAGAATTTTTATACTAACTAATAATACAGGGTGTTCAAAAAGTAAGATTAAATACTAAATTAGGAAAACCTCCGAAAATCTTTTTTTTTTAATGGAAACCCCCAAATTTCATAACTTTGTCTTATTTACCATTAAAAATAAATTGGCTATAAAAGCATTTAAAATCAATCGTATTCCACAGAAATGTATAAGTTTTATTTTATTATATTTTTGCATATACAGGGCATTCAGTGTTGTTTGGGTAATCACAACTTTGGTTGGGTTCTTCAGAGCCTAACTCATCCAGTTTCAGTTGATTGGATTCGCCAAACACCCTGTTCGCTTCTTCAGTGCTTAAGTGAAACTGTTGAGCTCTGAAGAAGCCAACGGGATGGTCGGCCAAACCTCAGCATCCTCCATCGACAACCCACCCCGAAAATTTGTAAATATTATTAGGGCGGCTTGTGGAAGCTTCTTTGGAAAAAAATGTATGAAGTATAACAAATAAAATCTTCACCATTTAACAGGAATTGATGACACAAAGTGAAACAATCGGCGGAAGCGCTATAGTTAGGTAGTTAGGTTAGGATATAGATTTTACCAAATGAGGATGTCCGGAACTTCCCTGCTTTTAGCGTATTTGACATATATTGCCATGGCCGGCAACAACGATAAACCGAGCACAATGGTGAAGGCGCAAAAACGTAAAGACATTTTGTTGATATATACTTCGTTCCTCAAGGAGTTGGCCTAAAAATTTACAGATCATTTAGGTTTACATATGTTTTTTACAAAACTTCTGGATTCCTCCTGCGTCGGTTTTTGCTTAGTCGAAATTGCTGACGTTTCGCCAATCATCCTGTTGGCTTCTTCAGTTTCAGTCCAGCTCTGAAGAAGCTAACAGGATGATTGGCGAAACGTCAGCAATTTCGACAGGAGGAATCCAGAAGTTTTGTAAAAAGCATTGCAGTAGCCTGTGGAAGTTTCTTTGAAAAATTTGAGGGATTCTTTTTCCTTTCACACCATAACCTTGAATAAGGATGGATAATTTACAGATAAGTTACAATAATTGTGAATTATATGCTAATTATTAAAAATGAATAAAGAAACACATTTCATCGGCAAACCGATGACAACAATTCTTGAAACAAACCTACTTCTGGTGCTGATAATGTAGTGAAAAGAATTCTTCGATTTCGTAACAAATGGCAAAGAATTAAAAAAGAATTGCTAATCAGGATTTCGAATTAAAAAAATAGATTGATTACAAAAAAGTCGATGCTTCTATTTCTTCAGCAACTTGTGAGAAGATAAATTCACATTTTTGGTATTTAAGTGATGAACTAAAAGTAGTCGAAGCTGTAAAAACTCGAGATGGTATAAATTCTAGGGTTAAAACGTTTGACGTGGCTCAAAACAACATCAATTCGATTATTCAAAAGGATTTGAGTGACTCCGTTTCTCAAAAATTATTGGATTTGTTCAAAGTCTTTGTCTACCATATGATGTTGATGTTGACGTTGAAGTTGCCAAAGAACATAGAGGACTATTTTGCGACTGTAATAAAAGTCGATTTGTATAACAAAATCTGACAAATATTTATTTTTCTATTAATACTGTATTAAGGTTTAGAATTTTATATGGCGGAACAGAATTCTTTTTCTATTAATATTTCTTGAATAAAGAACTTTTTTCTCTGAAATAGATAATAAATAATCTCAAAAATGAATAAATTAAAAATGTTTATTAAAAACTATGGATATAAATACCCATTGGGATTAAAATGCAAATATCTTCAAAATTGTTCTAGTAATCGATAAATCACAAGAGACCTTTTTTGTAGAGCATCAAATTTCCTACCTCGACGTAAGCGTCGCAGATATCGAGGAACCACCTCATGAACTTCAACAGCGCGAACCAAAGCCTCGTCGTGTAGAAGAAAGCGCAGTGGAATGCGATTTCCTACAATTTAACGGTACGCAGAGGAACAGATTACACTTCGACCAGAAATATAGTGCTTTTACAATCGGTCTCGTGATTAACTTTGCCTACTGTTTATTACTTCAAAACCGCAGACCCGTAACCGTTTCAGGACCGTCCTAGGAATTTATCTACCTACACTAACAAGCGGGATATAAGTATGTTTTCAATCTTTTTAGCCGAGCAATTACTAAAACATGTACATTAAAAAAATAGTACAGAGTAACAACTTATTACGTGCTATTTCATTACATTTCTACATAGTATCATTATTAATATACAAAATATTAAATATAATAGTAATAAAGTATCAGTCACTTAAAAAATCGTCACTATCGCTACTGTCGTCGCCTAGTTCAATAATCGACTCCGTTACTAATTGTTTTCGATAAATATTTTCTTCTTTTATTACTCGTTTTTCACAGTCAGTCCAGCTTTGTGCTGATATTTTAGCTACCTCTTGCCGAATTACGTTTATTGTACTATCACTAAATTTTGGTGAAGGGTTATTTCTTTCTTTCCAAACTGTTTATTTTTAAAAAGTGAAATTTTATTAACAGCGAAAAACATACTTTCACATTACTTTAATAAAACACATAAAAGTGCAAACTAAACTAATATGGTACAATTAAGTCTAAAGAATCATTATAAATTGTTCCTGAACCCCCATTATTTCTATGACTATGGCTCATTACTCTCGAATTGAAATTAAATAAAATTTATAATTTTATGAGACTTGTAATGACTCATTACAAATAATTATTTATGGCTCTATCGGAAAACTTCTGCTTGTATTCACTATGCCCTGAACTACCATCAAACCCCCATTTTCCTATTAACATTAAGTCTCCTTGGCGTACAAGAATTGACAAAACGTCTTTTTGTGACTCAAGAATCCGGTTAGCCGTATGATCCAGAAGTTCAACTTCTGCAATGTCTCTGACACTGTCACACTATCCAAAACTTTGTGATAGGAAGGAAAGACATTTGTAATGTATATTGCTAACTGGTCAAATTAGCTTCAACAAAAAGGGAGAGTATTTCGTCTGCATTGATCTGCGAACTGGAGGTTTTGGACTGATCTTTTAAATATTTAATTGCAGAACTATCTACTTTAGATAACTCGGACAATCTTCTGCGTTTAGATCGTTCACTACATTCGTCAAACTTGACCGTCGGGGATCTGCTGGATTTCTGCCACTTCAGCACAATAGCTTGGACAAGCGGAAGTTCACAAATTTCTGTCATGTTAAGCCATTCCTGGTGCTTAGCTACTAGTTTTCCAAGTTGGTAGTTTATTCGGCGAAGTAGCTGTCAACTCGGCCAAGATTTCACGGATTTTTTCCGAATTTTTGTCTGCTTTCTTGGCTAACCAAGTATTAAAAAGGTACATCCTCGTGAAGGTGCATTTGAATATTTGATCTGCGACAAAAGAAAAAAATAATCCTACGTTTTTTTTGTGTACATTTTCTTTTATGTACTTTTTTTGTGTAAAATTGATAAACAGAAAAGATTGGTGAACCATTTTATTATATCGGAGCCCAAAAGGGCAAAAAATAGCATATACAGCAGGTGACCAAAGTTTGTTTCGTCTCTCGGCGAATTGTAGCCCTCGCCTACAAATTTTGACATTGTAGTCCCTAGATATATAATGCACTTTAACAAAAACAATGATAATAATTTGACAATACAATGACAATAATTTTTTTAACAAAAAGTTACTTTGATATTGCTATTGGAAAATACGTGCATTTAAAACTAACCATGAAGGGATAAGAATATGACTGTTTTTGACACATCCGGCGACATTCGGCGACATAGCATCTTACCCGGTTTTAAAGTAGAGGTTCCAAACATTTCATCAATGTATATAACTTGCGAGTTAACGAGAGGTAAAACATATGAAAGTTTACATGTATTAACGTTTAAAAAAAAACTGAAAAAGGGACAATGGTGCATTAAGAACTGTAAATATTAAAAATACATACCTTGAACAGCAATATCCATTATGGCATTAGTGCGAAACTGTATAAATCCACACACGAAAAAGTTCACTGACCTCCGTAACCGTGACGAACGAAATCTTAGTAAGGGACTAGTTAATATCGGATTTTCTTTTATAATAATCATAATTAGACATTTCTGAGAAGACTTAGCGAGTTTTTAGGGCAAAATGAAATCATGACCTTTTTGGGTACATGACCGCAGGCGGTCTGCCGTTAAAGTACTGTAAAATACTTAAAACGTCAATGTAATAAATGCACTACATTTTTGGTACTTTTATACCTCATTTCTTACCGTAAACACTTCACCTTTCCAGCCTCCGGACGAGACGGGACCACGTTGATGCAACTGCCAATGTAACAGGGCGAAAGAGCAAGTTGCGAATATAACAGTGGGCAGAATTGAAATTGGAGTGGGTGTTAATTTGAATTTGGACGCGACGTTGTCCAGGAATCTCGCGTGGAGATCTTGGAGCGACATAATGTTAATTTTTTTTTCAAGCGTATAAAACTGTCAAAATGACTGTTTCCCAGCGACATATTACGTAATGCACAATGATCATAGATAAATATTATATTGGTCATAGATGGAAAACTTTACATACACTTGGAGAGTAGAAACAGCGTCGCTAGCGCCATCTAGTGGCATCTAAGAAACTAATAGCGATGTTTAGAACTATCGAATCGATGAAATCGAATTTTTCGAAAATATACGCGCTTGGCAACGAAACTCATATCTCGGAAAAAAACGTTTTTATTTTTTGTCTGTCAGTTTCTCTGTTCTCTGTAGACGGGGCATTAATTTTTTTTTCTAACGCACCGTCTCCAAATTTTGCTCCTTTTAAGCCCTCCATGAGACACATAGGCCAATAAAAAATGCCGTGATCGGACCCCGGCGACATTCTTTTTTTTTCTATTTTCGGCTGGTTTTTGGACATTCCTATGAAACACGATGAGTGTCTGAAAATTGAAGCTATCGACTTCAAATTTGTCAAAATCGTCAAAATTGTTTAACCACCAGACGCGGAAAATCCAGTGCTATAACATTTATTTCAGGCATCTTTTGATTACATACAGGGTTTTCCAATTATGGCACAAAAATCTGAAAGACCCAGAAAACTGTTCTTTCCAGAGTGAATTATTAACCGCGAATCAAAAATCGTAAAAAATATGGGCAATCGCTTTAAACAGTGCCATAGGCGGCATCAAGAACTACATTTTTTGTATTTACGATTTTCGTCTATCGCACACGCTGCCCTAAATATTTGAAAAAATCCATAAGAAAATCACTGTACCTCGGATTCAGTCAAGACGCGATGACGTCATTCATTATTATTACGGCGCACTGCATGGTTTGAAACCAATTTACTATTTTGGAAAAATTCTGGATCAGGAAACGTGGGAGATCCAGGGCAATTCTTCAATTATGTACAGCGTGTGTCGATTATGGGGAAAAATATCTAAAAGACCCTGAAAATTGCCGTTTTCGTTTGTAAATTAATCGCCGTTGATGGAAAACTATAAAACCTGTAAAAATTTCGTCCAAACAAAATAAATTGTGAGAAGAGAGAGTTTCAGTTTTCGTCTATCATATGTGTTTTTTACACTTGAAATGTTTTTTCTAATTTAAAAAAACTAATTTTTTTAAAACGGGACACAATGTAGTTAGTAGTTTTATTGGGTTTGGGATTTTTTCATTTTGGGATTTTATCATTTTGTATATAGCTTTGATTACAAATATTTTTAGTTTACAAGTTATGGCCAATTTTCTGCAACAATTCTAAATGAAATGGCATAATGCATACGATAGTGTGGGCAGGACGAGAATCGAAACTCGACGTTAGGAAAATAAACATATTTATTCGAAAATTAAAGAAAAAACATACAACCTTAACCCAAGCCCTTAATCCCTTCTGGCTGTAAAAGGTTTAAGGGCCCATACAAAAGGGTATTTACAACGTCGTTAAACAATTATCTCGGAATGAAATAGCGAAAATATATGCATTTTTTCTGGTAGGCCTTTGTTTTACGGAAAAAAAAACTTGAAATATGGCTGTCATTTCAAGCGTAAAATATACAGGCCTTGTATAGATTAAGCGTCTTCTTAATCGTCAACAAAAACTCAAAAAATTAACGAATTTGCTTTCGAACAACGTGCGTTTTTTTTTTTTTTTTGATTAATAGAGCAAAATCATGAGCAAGCCAATGTTTTACTTCAAATTTATCGTAAGTACGTCGTAATTTATATTGTCTAGTAAAAATACTCGCAGTTTGTTATACACGGTGTCCCAAAATCCACTCGAGGGGTATCTTTGGTAAAATGTTTTTTGCTCGCATTTGAGGCACTTTTTCGAAAACTTTATCCTGAGAAATATTTGTATAGAACACCGTGTATATTCTTATCACAACTATGAAATATAACACATCTACAATTTAATTTGTTTTTACAAAACGCTGCTTTAAAGCCTAAGGGTCCTTCGCACGTGGTTTCGATAAGACTGGTCTTGGCTGCTACCAGACTTATCACCATAATCGAAAATCTTCATATAAATTAAATTTTTATATACACCGATGAGCGGTCTAAGTTTTACCCATTTCTTCCAAACTCAACATTTTTGTTTGTTTCTTACTTACACGTTGTATCGACGTTTTTTATTTTAAACATTTATCACACCTAACAATAACCAAAACTAACAATCAAAACGGCGTAATTGGATTTTAAATGGCTGCCCCTTAATACCCAATAAAAACCGCTATGTTTCATAGATATTTCGCCGATTAGGGATATACTAAAGATGCGCATGAAAAACTATTCAAAATATGCCATTTTAGCTGTTTAATGTTTGTTATATTAAAAATATTGAGGAAAGAGCCCTTTTTGGCACTCATGGCCAAGTTAAACAGTTAGGCTGAGCAAACCCAAACAAATTTTGCAATATCCACAAATTATCAACAACTACTTCTTGTCTATTTTTTCCAGTACCAGCGCGGATACTGATTGGATTTTGCAAATACAATAGAATAAGTAATTCTGTTTTTTTGATCAGACTGGGTACTTTGCATACATACAGAGAACAGACAAAGTTTTCCCAATTCCGAAGGTTGCTTCGGCTTCGATGATCAGTCAATTACATGTGCATGGCAAGGTATTGGGGAAGGTTGTTTATCAGCAAGTACTTTCGTATACAACTGATCGTAATATAATTACATCAAACCAGTCAATTTTCGTCCAAATCATGACACGCTTGCTGCTTTACTGTGTATTAATGATTGAATTTGAATGAAAATGTTTGAACGATACTGGTCTTACTTGACTTGAGTGCCACAGGGTTCAATTCTTGGACCTTTGTTGTCCACATTGTCATATGCTGATGACGCCCAGCTGAGTAACCCTAGTTTGAATCTAAAAAATCTGAAAAATGATTTTTTTTCACTCTTTAAGAAACACCGAAAATGACAGAAGGGCACCGGTAAAAGGTAAATTTGTTTATAGACGTTTTTAAAAGTGATTTTCGTTTGGTTTAAGTTATGTTTCTCCTCACATTAACTGGCTGCCAAATTTTGCTTTGTCAGTGAAAGAAATATTAGTTTTTTTACTGTTTTTTACTGTTTCAGTGATCGATCTGTATCTTTTTTCCAGCCGTATTTTGATTACAGGCTGCAGTTTGTTCGGGAGTGCCACAAGGTTCAATTCTTGGACCTCTTTTGTATCAAATTAATTGATAAGCTGATGATATCCACATTTAACTCAATTAATTTTGATAACGTCGAAGCTAATCTTCTTTCCAACGTTCCTGAAAGATCGTCTAATGTTTCGGTATGAAATTCACATTCTGAGTAATATTTTCGAAAGGTTTATGAGTTTTTATTTTAAGCAAGTCTAAAACCGCATCGTTTCAACTTTTGATATAACAAAAGTAAAAGCTTCGGTAATAACGAGATGAAAAATCGTATTTGACATTTGTCTTTGGCTGCTTAATTTTTATACGAACTTGTTGAAATGGGGACGTACCATAACCTAACATTTTGACAGCGGAAAAAACAACATAACATAGGGCCCCTTTTTTCTTTCTTTTGTCTTTAATCCGCTTTGATGCTTGACGAACCAACCATTTTTTTTCCATCATCAGCGAAATATCTATTTTTTTAAACCATAACCACATCACCAGGTACTTATATTCTATTAGACAATTTTTTAAAAAAAAATCGGCAACTCTAGGAGTTTATCTACGAAACTCCGCTAAACTAACCATTCAATGGTGTAGGATCTGGTAACTGCGGATTCTGGTCACACCTCGGTACCACCACAGTACGTCAGCGCGTTATCCGACGAATGCTCCGCCTGCCAGATCATTCTCCATCTCTGCAAATTACGCCCTGTAGCCCGCAACAGCACACCGACCGCGCCAATTACCTGTACAAAGCTACCGGGGGTGATCGCAAACTTATACACTATGTACAGGGGGATGCAGATGATGGACGACCCGGTCAGGATGTAACCGACCTGCAGGCTCCAGTTCGGGTACTTGTACTCCTCACCGAGCATGTCTTCGTGAGTTAAGATCGAGCATACGAAGATGATCTGGAAATATACCAAAGTGTAGTTATGGTGTCTCATTTTGGGCACTTTTGCTGGGTAAATTGAAAATATTACATTTTCAGATACCCCTCGTATCTCACATCAGATAACTTATCGAAAACGTGGAACTTTACCTCTACACAAAAGTATATTAGTACATAATCTCTCTCAGAAACAAACAAATACATGACAATTTTCCAATGTAAATGTTTACTTTAATAGAATAGTAAGAAAAATTAAAAATGACAGTAAGATTGTAGCATAAGGCAACAATGTCACAAAACACGAAAAATCTTGGGTAAAAAACGATTAAAACAAATCTTTAAAGGTTAAACACTATGCAATATCTGTGAAAAAGTGTTCAAGAAGCAACGGTAGAACGTCCTTTAGACAGAACGATCATTGTTCCATCGCGAGCCAGCGATTGCCGTTGAAAGTTTCGCCTTCTCAATAAATGATTATAAAAAAAAAGTGGCAATGGACTATTTGTTTAAAAAACTGTAGAAAATTAAGAAGTTCGCTTAGGGGTTTCCATCTAATCCAATTATTGATAATTCTATTGCACCCTGTATAAAGTGCGTTTCACGTCTCGCCGAACTTCAGAGCTACGGAAAGTTTTGGTAAATATCAATATTCTACTAGAAAATTCCCAATAATAAGGGGTGTTTTTTTTCAATGTATAAAACTTTAAGTTGCAATAAAACAACTATGGATTATTCGATTGACATGAATTTTATTTATCCGAATGGCATTACATTTTAAATATGATTTCTGGCATATGACCGCCACGGCTGGCGCGGATGTAGTCCAATCTGGACGTCCAATTTTCGATGACTTTTTCCAACATTTGTGGCCGTATATCGGCAATAACACGGCGAATGTTGTCTTCCAAATGGTCAAGCGTTTGTGGCTTATCCGCATAGACCAATGACTTTACAGAGCCCCACAGAAAGCAGTCTAGCGGTGTTAAATCATAAGATCTTGGAGGCTAATTCACAGGTCCAAAACGTGAAAGTAGGCGGTCACCAAACGTGTCTTTCAATAAATCGATTGTGACACGAGCTGTGGACATGTTGCGCCGTCTTGTTGAAACCACATCTCCTGGACATCATGGTTATTCAATTCAGGAATGAAAGAGTTAGTATTCATAGCTCTATACCGATCACCATTGACTGTAACGTTCTGGCCATCATCGTTTTTGAAGAAGTACGGACCAATTATTCCACCAGCCCATAAAGCGCACCAAACAGACAGTTTTTCTGGATGTAACGGTGTTTCGACATACACTTGAGGATTAGCTTCGCTCCAAATGCGGCAGTTTTGTTTGTTGACGTAGCCATCCAACCAAAAGTGCGCTTTATCGCTAAACAAAATTCGCTTATGAAAATCGGGAACAACGACAATCTTGTTTTGGGCCCATTCGACGAATCTACGCCTTATTCGATGATCGTTTGGCTTCAATTCTTGCACGAGTTGGATTTTGTAAGCACGTAAGCCAAGATCCTTCCGCAAAATCTTCCATAAAGTGGATGGGTCTTGCTCAATGCTACGCTCTACAGCAGCAATAGCTTCTGTACGCACCGTACGGCGTCTCTGAGGATGCGAGTTATCAATAAGAGTAAACGTGGCGCGAAAACGTTCCATGATTAATCGAATTAACTGCTGATGGACAATTTTGTCGACGATAAAATGGGCGTAGTGCGCGACACATATTCCGCACAGAACCATTATTTTCGAAATATAATTGCACTATTTGCAAGCGTTGTTCAGGCGTGAGTCTATTCATGATGAATTGCCAAAGCAAACTGAGAATAAATCACTTGACAGCTGTTAAATCGGTCGCCATCTTGGACAGTAAGGCCAACTTAAAGTTCTATACATCGAAAAAAAACACCTATTATTTTTGCAAATATCTCGCGCACACTGTATGATGGGCGAGTACGATAAATGGAAAATTGAAGCTCTCTTGTATATAATTCATAAAGCGACTTTCGCATGGATTTTTCCGAATATCTATCATATTTTTACCAATATTTTTTACAAATTTTGATTTATGGCTAATAATTTATTCCAAAAGGAACAATTTTCAGGGTGTGTTAGATTTTTCTAAATAATTGAAAAACCCTATATAGTTTGTCTAAATCTTCATCGTGCTGACTTTTTCCCGCAAATACGGAGGTTACAAGTTTTGATAATATTTGTGTTGTTTATTTAGGTGGGTATGTTCTTCTTCTTCTTCATGTGCCGTGTCCGTCATCGAACACTTAATCACTTTAATTATTTTAGACGCTCCAATATTTGTTTTGTTGTGGACTCTGTCAAGCCAACTTACACGTAGCAATCTGCTGTACACCTACATCTCAAAGACTTGTAGGCTTTTCAGCAGTATTTCCGTCAACGTCCAGCTTTCAATCCCATAGAGCAAAGTCGAGAATATCTAACATCTTGTAAGCCTCAAGTTCGATGTTGAGGTTTCTGCTGCATAGCACTTTCTTTACCTTCATCTATACGAACTTTGATTTCTTGGCTCATATCCCAGTTGTTGTTTATGTTAGAGCCCAGGTACGTGCACAAGCGGGACTCCATACGCTGTTATCACATACCCGTCTACCGGTTGTTTACTTACAATCATATATTTCGTATTTGACGTTTTAAATGTTACTCCATATTCGTTACATACATTGGTGAGTCTATCGCAAAGCATTACACCCCGGCGAATTGCCACTGTGTCAGAAATATTTTGGTCAATCCTAATGTTTGCTCGTCGATGCCAATAAATGTTTTTAATTATTCGCATGTCCTTGTAGTCAACCTACTTGCTGGAGGATTTCCGTCAGCTTGTCGAAAGCCTTCTCAAAGTCAATAATGCAAATATGAACGGGGTGGTTGACATGTCTGCATCTCTGACCTAGAACCTGGATACAAAACAGTGCTTCTTTGGTTCCAAGGTTATTACGGAACCCAAACTGCGTTTCGCTAATTTGTTCTTTAATTTTGGGAAGTGCCACAAAGATTGATCAGTTGGTATGAGTCCAGTTCCATATATCTTACTGAAGAGACATAAATATGACTGTTTTCCTTTATTATCAAGAAATTTCAGTGTTTCTGAAGGTATTCCATCCGGTCCCATTGCCTTTCTATTTTTTGCCGATTTGATAGCCTTCTCTAATTCGTCTCATGATATCGTTATACAATGTTGCATTTCATTTTCTGACCTGTCGTCACCAAACAGTTCTTCTATGTATTCCTATACAATACATAGGTAGGTATAATCTTGTTAAAGTAGGAGAAACATTTTCTGTTCTGACATGTGATTTCACTTGGTTCCACAAATGCTCTATGGGGTTAGACGTTAATTGAAACTAAATATCATTTTCTAACATCAAGGTAAATTATGGATCTGTTGTCTAATCTATACCTTTGAATTCCATGAAGGCAATTGAATCTCCAAGTGCGTAATCTGTGTCATTCCTAGAGATCTAACGGTTCGGAAAAAAACCGGAAAATTTGGAAAAAAACACTAGTTTTTTCCGTTTTTTTTCCAAACCTCGGAAAAATTGGAAAAAAAACGAAAAAATTGACTTTTTTTAAATTAAATACCAGATAAGCTATAGTATAAGTTGCTTCAATAAAAAAAAAACAAAAATTAAGATGCCTACTTTATTTCAAAATAATAAAAAAAAATGAAATAAGAACTCTTTGGTTAACAAAACAAACTCTAGAATACATAAAAAATACAAAAAAAGAAGAAGAACTGACAACGCAAGCAAAATGCAAGTAAAAAAACATCATTTCTGCAATCTTAAAGGGGTTTCATCGTCAAGGTCCGAGTCTGCGGAGAAAGAATCTGGTTCTGATTCCGCAGCATCGCCGTCCTGGATATTCCCAATTAATTCGATATCCATTTCAGCCGGCTGCAAAAGCGGAACTGGCCTAGAATCGTAGGCAAATTTGTCATTTCCTTCTAAATTTAAGGTAGATTGAATTGCAACAAGTTTTTGTACCTTATCTTGTGTCAGTCTATTTCATGTTTTAGTATGAATAACACCATGCAAAGACCAGTTTCTTTATGACGAAGCGGACGATGGAGGTCCATTTAAAATTCTGGGAGCAATTGGCATAAATGGCTGCGAGGTACACAACCCCTGCTACCATATAACCGGATGGGTACTGCTCGCAGTTCCCCATAGAGAATTCCTACTAAAAAATCCCGTTTCAGTTCTGAAGTGGGCTAAATTTGCCATTACTTCTCCTGTGTTTAAACGTAATAATTGAGACATTTGCAAAATAAAATCAATTTCCAATATAACTTGGTTTTCATTTAATTGCTTCCCTTGAAAACGGGAATCAAGAAGATTTGCTGTAAAATGAATAGGTTTACGACAAAATTCGAAGCGTTAATAGGTTTTCTCTAGTTTGTTACACTGCACTTATTTTTTAAAATATGTTTGAAAATAATTGTATCGAATAATATTTAATACGTAAACCTCCCTGGATATTAAAATGCTTTTGGATTTCGTTTCCAACAAAAATTCGATTTTTCCTCCATTTTTTCTGGGAAAAACCCCAGTTTTTTTCCGACAACCAATTTTTCCGGAAATTTTGAATCACTAGTGATTCCATTACTAGTTTTGTCTATTTTTTGGTACTAAAATCTCATGTTGCAAACAACTTTATGGAGAGAGGGTGGAGTAGGTCTTGATCACTATTCTCTATCAGGTGAGTTTGAAAATCACTCCGTTTCTTCAATTCCCCACTATTAATAATATTCCTTATCGACGGTATTCGCTTTTTGTAAGTAAGATTGTAAGAACTTCTTGTAAAGTAAAACGGTAAAAACGATTATTCAACACTGCCACAAATGACCAACATTCAAGAAATATACCAGAAAGAAAGAAATATGCCTAGTCCATCCCTGCTTTTTTTGGATTTTCCCAGTAACAATAGGTAATAACATCGTTAAAGTATTATTGAGGATGGTCCGTCGATAGCCAGCATACATAATCGCAAAAATGGTTGAAATAAAATTATGGTGCCGAATCTTCCGCATCTCTTGATTTTCGTCTGGTAAAAATAATATTCAAAATAAAAAAAAAAGCTTTGCGAAATTCGATTGCCCACAACTTTAACAGTCTAAATGTGGGCGTGGACTTCTAATGCCCTACCAAATACTAAGTCGATAGCTTCACCTACTACGTTTTTTAATATCGGGGACACAATAGGTGAGCGTACTTCTATTAAATGCATTTAAATTTCTAAAATTGTCATTTACTCGTATGTTTCTGAGAAAAATTACGAATTGTTATATAAGAAAAGAAAAAGGCAAATTAAAAAAAAAAACTATAGCCCAGGTGGAATTGAGTGCTGCAGGAAAAGTTATATACGAGGGTTACCCTAAAACACAATGTTTTCAATTTAGCTCTGCATCTTAAACACGACAAGGGCTACGAAGATGTTGCTAGCGGCATCTTCAGATCCTCGGAAAAGTGTCCAAAATGGGACACTGTCTTCTTTGTCTTTGTCTTCAAGGAGACAAAAAGTTGACCACTAACCAGGAGAAATACAGGGCTGATGTACTTCCAGCACATGCACCAAAAGATGCCAGGCCTGTGGCCGATCATTTTTTCAATGTCCCTGGAGAAGTTGTCCGTTCCGTAGAGCCAACAGACTCCGGCCGCCTCCACGAACACCACGAACAAAATGGATAGCCCAGGACCGTAGACGTTTAACATGTTTACGAGATAGACACCACCCTGAAAAAGTGTACCAAATATTTTTCTCCCCATTCTTTACTTAGGTGCTACTGCAAATGAATTATGAGTGAGTTCATTTGAGTCCTAAGGAGGTTAGATGAAAAGCTCGCCGCTGGAAAATGCGGTTCTAAAATCGTTCAATCATTTTTCTTTGATATTCAGTTATCTTTCAATGCAAATCTAAATAATATAACAAGTAGATCACCACGAGTGTATAGATTTATCACAGGAAATACTGTATTTATCACAGAAAATTCTTGGTCAGATGGAAACTGGAATGTTGTTCTTTAATATAGAGTTTGTTTTATGAAAATGTTTCAAAATAAGTTTTTAAATTGTATTACCGTAAAACTGGTGTGTACGATGTCCATATATCAAAGGCAGACGTTATGGAATCATAGAATCTTCGTTCTTTCCAAAAGAGAAGTAATGTGCGGTGTGCTGTATTTTTCGTGCAAATTATTAATTAAAAATATTCGGAAAGCCATTAAAAATACATAATTCAAAAAAACAACAACCTGGAAGAAATTGTGACTTAACTGTAACAGATTATTCAATATATAGGTATCTGGAGGGTAGTTTAACCCTTTACCCTTCTCGCCACCTCTCTTATATTAAATATGTTTATTGGTACCAGAAAAACTAAAAGACATTTAAGTATTTCTAGGGAAATTTAAGGACTACTTACTAATTATTACTCAGAATTTGAGTATTACTAATTAAGGTAACTTTAAGGACCACTAACTAATTACTATTCTGATCCACTCTCACTCAACTCGGAATCAATTTGAAAGTCTCAGGTAGAGATGCTTGAGAACCGCTAGATATTAGCATTTCTAGTGCTGCGGTTGAAAATTGTTTCAGTTTTTTTCTTTAGAAGCTTCCTAAGGCTAGAGATATAAGGATCGGAGGATACAAGAAGTCTATTGAAAACATCTTTCATTGTTTTTACAACAGAAAACCTTCGAGAGAAATCTTCAGGATATTTCTTGAGCATTTTCAACTACTGGTTTTCCATGTATTAATACTTTATGCACAGAAGTTGGTATAAAATACCATGGATACAGCTGATTAAATATTTTTGCTGTGTATATCCCGAATCTAAGGTTTTTTTCTGAAACAGGCGTTTTCAAAACTTTTTCGATATTATTAAAATCCTTGCTTGTTGCTCCACATAGATAACATCTTTGTGATGACTTCGTCCCAGTGATCGCACTACACACGTTTCCATCGATCATTGTAAAATGCATGATGTAAGACATATAGATTTCTTTGTGTTTAAAAGTACATTCGAACATGCCTTAGTTCAGCTTGTGTCGATTCTGATCGTTTCTTGAAGAAATTGCATGCGTAGTGGCCTACAAAATCTTGGAGATGATGTTCTGGGATTCTTTCAAACAATAACTGTCAGTATATATTAACTGCAGAGGAACTACTCATTTACAAAGAAGCTGCAGGTTCTGCAGGTTTTCATAGTTCGAATTCAGCACTTAACATAACAGATAACAGGATTTTTTTGCTTCCAATACCGTGTTGTAGGGTGGAAAAGAGTCTCGAGTTTTGCTCGTAGACCTTGGTATTGACTTCTTCAAAGCTTGAACTTAATTAATATCGAAAGAGCCTCGTCACTGGTCAAAGTAGTTTTAGTTGCTAATTTGAACCTTTTACGGTATTTGGATGCTCTGGTGGGAGTACTAAAAGCGGCTTGTTTGACAACCTTAGAGCGCTCAATGAACTACGAAGTGCTTCTGTACCCCTAGTCGATGATGTAGCTGTATTGGGATCCAGCAGAATTGGAAAGGTAACGGGTTTACTCAGCCAATCTTATTTTTGAAAATGGAGTAGAAAATGATTGCTGGAGGGGCTTGAAAGAAAGAAACGTATCTGTTTTTATATACAAGGTTACACTATTGCATGTAGTATATCATATTTTGTGAAATCTGTATTTGATATTAGAATGAGAAAATCATTAAAATATAGTCCGACTTTTTTATATACTGGGCGTTTAACATTTTAATTGTTTTTAGTTTTAAAATGGAACCTGTGTACAAGGTTATGATTTAATTATTAATTTAAAAGATTATTCAAATATACTGGTATATGCTTGGACCTAATGAATAAGCGAATATTTTAATAAATACGTATTTTTTACGTTACGCTTTTTAATTATTTACTTTTCCCGGAACAGTAACCGTAAAATTTCAAAATAACGTCCGCAAAACATCCTCGGGATATCTGACGGGACATAGCGTATATCCTAGGGATATACTGTTAAGGATATACAATGTTACTAATTGGAACGTCCACAGTATATCAGATAGGTATGTCCGTAGAATGTTTGTTAGGACATACAAAGGATATCCGGATGTATAGGATATAGATATATATAGATAGATATACCAGATAGATATATATAGATATACCAGTGGACCTTACTTATTAGGCTATTTCCAACTGTCTATGAGAAAAACTGGAAAGGTAATATAATTGGTTGTACGACTACAAAAATTCCATCCCAGTATTTGGTACTCGCGTGTGATGGAATGAATGAATGTTTAATCTTTAATTTTGCTTTTGATGGTAAAAGTGAAGGACCGTCGATAGACACCATTAATAAAACACGTTTTGTACAGATCTGATTTTTTTCTATTTTAGATATGAAAAAATTGTAGGTATCTTAAAAATAGAGTACTCTTGAACTAAACTTTAAAAGAATAACTAATATTTGACAGGTTTTCTGTAATGCTTTAATGAAAGTAGTTTTTTTCAGCCAAGCAGCTATTGAATTCTCACATTCTTTTGATGTTTGTGACGTGTTGCCTTCTTAATCGCACCTGAAAATATTTTAGTTTTGAGAAAGACAGGTTTTATATATCTGTACTTTATAAAAATAAATAAAAAGAACGAGACTGGTATCTTATATCTTTAAAAAACAGATTTAAAAAACCCCTACATCCGCCTTTTAACTAAAGGCTTGATTTGACGCTGATAGTACTCCCATAAAAATGAAAAATGATCCTGGATGCTAATCTCCACGATGATGTAGGTATACATCTATGTATTTCATCTCATTAAATACAAACCTTATTAAACTTTCATCGGTAAGATCTCTTTCATGAGACTAGGTACTATTGTACGCAAAAAAAACTAGAACAAATATGACTTCTCAATTTGACAGTAAAGATCTATTTTCATGCAATATTTTTTGTGAAGTTAAAAAATTTCCTGTTTTTTTTTTGCTTATTAATCCAACAACCAATTGAATCTAAAAATCGCACTTTATGAAGGGTGATTCTTAAAAATAATAATTATAATGTACTAGCTCATTGACCTAGCGAAATAATAAAAAACAAGTCATGATGGTAGACTACACAACAATGGTTCGCTTTACTTATATGAATTATTAGTTCTTCAGTAACAATAATAGCACAAAAATTAACTGAAATGAAAGCTCTGAAAGCAGTAAGCACAGCACTTAAAATACGAGACGTAGGAGAAGCCGACGAGACTCGAGCGAGTCCGATACAGCACGACCGCGTCATTGGTAGCAGCCGAACGGTGCTTATAAACAAATATATTATTTTTACGTTTTTGTAATTTTTTCACTTAGATGAGTCCGTACTTTCTGCGATATTTTTATTGAAATAGCGTTTCCTGTCTCGTCCGTGTCCAAAAATAATAAAAACAAGTTGATTTTAACGATTTGATTGCGGTTTTTTTAGGACTTTCCAACACTGACGTCATTGAAGATGTGCACAAAAAGGTTGCCAATAAAATGTCACCCAAAACACCACAAATCTAAAAAAAAACTAAGTATTTTCCTTTATTTTCATTATGAGGATGAAAGTTTCTTTGAAAATTTACCCTCAAACTTACTGCAGAAGCTGACTTACGTAGGTAGTGGTAGGCAAGGCACAGATGTAAATACCGGTCAGCAATACCGCGACGAACACCTCCCTATTCCTGCCCAACACCCTCGGGTATTCGTCGCAGAGGGCGGTTATCATTGCTTCCAAACCGCCAAAGGTGCTGTCCAAGCCCAAGGTGATGAGCATGAGGAAAAATATGATGGACCAGAACACCGAGCCGCTCATGGTCGCTATCGCTTCCGGGTAAACGATGAACACGAGTCCCGGACCTTCCAGGCCCACTTCCTCGATACTCTTGTGCTGGACGTGGGCCATGTAACCTAGCACGGAGAATATCACGAAACCGGCCAAAAAGCTCGTCAAGCAATTGATGGTGGAAGTGATCACGGCGTCGCGGTAGCAGTTGTTGTTGAACTTGTTGTAACTGGAGAGAGCCAGCAACGTTCCGAAGCCCGGACCCAAGGAGAAGAAGATCTGCGACGCGGCGTCTATCCACACTTTCCGATTGTACAGTTTGTGCCACTCGGGGGTGAGATAGTACCGGATACCCTCCACCGCACCCGGCAACGTCACTCCACGTGCCAGCAGGATGATGAGGACGATATAAGGCGCGAGTGCCGTTATCCACACTGCCTATCGACGACAAACTGAACGATAGAGGGCGTCATTTCCGAGGACACGGGTGATTCCGTTCTAACTGTTACTTTTTTATACAGACAGAAGTAGAACATACATTGAGATTTATGAAAACTCATAAAATAAATAAGAACTAAAAGTTCAGATTTTCACGAAATTATATATATTCACATGACAATTGCTACAAGCTACCTACTATTATATATACAGAAAATGGAATACAAACAACTTTTGGATAATTTTAAGTTGAATAATCCTGATTTTCTTAAATGGTACGCCTTATATATTATTATTTTTTCTTCACTTTTTTTTAATATTTTGCTATTTATTTCAACTTTTCCCTTCTATCTGTCGGAGTAAATGACATTGTGAAATTTTTAATTAAAAACCGAGTAAATAAATTCATAAAATTTAAGGCCCTGTACAATAAAAGTTGTTGCAAATAACCGGTCTTTAATTAATAATTAACATTTGTTTTACTGGCTTATCACCGGCTGTGCACTTACCTTTCCGGTACTGCGTACTCCCTTCCATAACGAAAAGTAGACTAAAACGAATACCGCGAAAACGCAAAGCGCAAGCGCGGGTTTTATGGGTCCCATCCGATCGAGACCGTCCGATTTGTATTGCTCCAAAACCTCCCTCCTAAAAACAAAACAAAAATATAAATGGACCGGAACAACAGTCGACACCAATCCTAAATCCTTCTAAATCAGATGTATATATACAATTAAAACAGCTTTAGAAAATATCGAAGAAGTAAACGAAGAAACCGAATATATACATCCAGAACTGTCGATCGGCCAAAGTAAATTTGAAAGGGTCAAGAGAGGATTAAATATCTGGGACAATTATTAAGCGAGAACTGGGAGAATTCACTGGAAATAAAATCCAGAATTGCATAAGCGAGAGCAAGGTTCATACGTATGAGGAAAGTGGTGGCGTGTGGACATGAACTTAAAATTGGCCATCTTAAAAAAGCCTTTATACAGGCGCATGTTAAGGATAAGTTGGATCGATCGGGTCGCTAACATAGAAGTCCTGAACAGAATGAAGAAAAATAAAAAAATTTAGAGCAATATTGAGAGAACACGTTGCCCAGGAAGAAGAAGAACATCTTGACGGAAAAAACTATGATAGTGGTTCGCACAATCAACTAATACGCTGTTTACGTCATCGGTAAATGAAGTATTGATAGCCAACATAATTGCTAACATGTTGTAAAAAAAGATATATAAAATGGTCCCGGTAGATCTTGGACATTAATGCTAGTTTCCGAGCTGCTGGAAAAAATCTTTTCAGTCCAGCGAGTTTTGTTTAATTATAACATCCAAAAAGAGTGGTTGTTTTTGCACAGCGAACCAGTTCATAAAAATGTTGGCGAAGACACTGGGAACTGTGGACCCAACATGGTGGCCTGATCTTTTATGAAGTTAAGAGCATTTTGTAAGAAAAGTTTTCCCATCAAAGCTGATGAACTGATTATCTCTGAAATCTTTCGGATTCTAAAAGGATTTGATCCTATTGATACCATGAGCCACACAAGAACATTTCAAGTAGACTGATATCCGTCTATTGAACTATTGGATTCTGTTTGCAATATTTCATTAATTTAACAAAGAGCCTTTCGCTTTTAGTGGGAATACTACTATTCAAATGATACAAGAGATACAAGTCGGTTAATTTAGCAAACTAGTAACATGTTTTCCACTGATTTCCCGTACAGAAAATGTACTCTTTTTAAATGTATATTTTTTATTTCAATTTCTCAAATTACCACCAGAACAAAAAAGTTATATGCCATTTTAGAATACAATTGAAAATAACCGAATTATGAGCATATTTCTCTTTTACCCACTAGTGGTTAAGAAATAAAACTCCATTTTGCTGTTGTTCAATACATTTTTGAGCACATTTTTATATTGAGCAAATTGCCTTTAGTATTGGTTAATTTTTTTCTCTTTTTTTTAAGTTTAAGTATTGGTATGTTTCCTTATACATTTCGTCCTTTCAATACCCCCACAAGCAGAAATCAAGTGGGGTTTTATCTGGTGACCTAGGACACTAAGGAATTTGTAGCAATCCATTTATTATTGAAATATATAATATATAACAAATTTGAAAAATACTTTAAAATATGCCGTACAAATAATTCCAAAAAAAGTTTTATCTCTGCATCGCGTGCCAAAAGGACCGGACGTGGTCGGAATTTATAAGAACAAAAATTAAATTTCTTCAGAAATGATTGAAAAAAAATCGTATAAGGGTTATTTCTCAAAAATAATTGCAGATAGAAGACATCTGAGCGAGTCCACTCTTTTATATTTATAATAGATACAAGGGGTTTCCAAAGTCATCATTGTTTATCACTGGTTGGCAATGAAATCCTCCTTTGAAAAATTTTATGACAAATATAATGATACAAACGTTTTGAATCTATCCCCGTTGGCCGATTTTTTCTATCACGTCGATATGATTTTTTTTTATATTTCAAATTTTTTTTTTTTTAATTTTTTCATTCGTCAACGTTACAAAAAGTAAATATACATACAAAATGAGTTTCAGAGAGTTGTAAGAGAAAGGAGGGAAGTGCCGAAGGTGATTTTTATGGTAGTAAATATTGATTGTGACACTACAACAGTTCAGTGAAAACTTGTCGTTTAATTGTTTACCTTTTATATCAAATATTTTGGTAAGTTTTGCATGAAGTTCATGTTCTCTACATTGGATTTAAGTATTTGATGTGTAGTTTGAGTATTTTTTTTAAGTAGAGTCAATAAATAGAAAATAGAAGTTTGAAAGTTGTTTTAAAATTAATTTTATGTGATTTTAGGTTACAAAATGCCATGGACTTGTAAAAATTCCTCAGATTGTTGTTGCTACATTTGTGGGGAGTACACACTAAAAATGCAGCGACATGTCATGACCGATCTGGTTAAAACAGCTTATAAGCTGTATTTTGGATTTTCTATCGATGAGCGAGATAAAAGTTGGTTGCCAAAAGTATGCTGCAATAGCTGCTCAAGAACGTTGAGAGCTTGGCTTGAAGAAAGTCACAAATCCATGTCGTTTTCAATGCCAATGATTTGGAGTGAGCCTCAAAATCATGAGAATGATTGTTATTTCTGCATGACATCTACACGAGGATTCTCGAAAAAAAATAGAGATAAGATTGTTTATCCGAACGTCCTATCTGCAAAGAAACCAATTACACTCCACCTCCAGTTCCACCAGTTAATGAGGAGGCTGAAAATAAAAATATTTCAGGTCAACAATCTCAATCGAGTTTTCTTTCTGGTAGTACATCTTCATCTTCATCCGCTTTATCTGGATCTTCATGTCCATCTACAGAACCTCATTTACTTTTATTTATTGTTTTTTGATGAAGTAAATATTAAATTAAAAACCTACGTGTGGTACTTATTTGTATATCAGATTCCGTGTTTAGAGCATAAAATAAGATGAATTCATGCATGAAAACAAGAAGAAGAGAATTTTTTCTTTTTGCAGACCAGTGTTATCAGAGATGTGGTCGATTTAATGGGTTTCATCTTGTTCTCGGTTTACTCACTCGAAAAATTCTTTCGCGGGTGTTGTTGAATTGACATTGGAGTTGAGTTTGGTGACAGGTCTGCAGTCCCTAGTGTTCCACGCGTTGTTGCACTTAGTCCAGGGCAGTTCCGAGGTGAAGGAAGCGATGAGATAATAGACCGCCCAGCCGATGATCGTGTTGTAGTACATGCCCATGTAGATGTCCAGGAGGCATATCGCATATCCGACCCCTTGAAAAATATCCATCGGAATTGAAATCAAATGGTCTATTATCATTGGCATACATGCTATTACGCACAAACATTACTAAAACCAAGCTTGTAATTGACATAAGCAATGCATGATTATATTATTCGGATCGTAGTTGATTATATTTATATAAAATCAGCCGGTAAATTTTTGGTGTCTGTCAGCGGAGTAATGAACAATCGAAGCGCATCACTAAAGAGGCTTTTTTGCATTTGTAGAGTTTTAACAAACTGAATATCAAAATCATCTTTACCCCTAACATAATAAGAATGCTTGTACGACCTAGGAATTAAATAATAAGTAGGAGGGAAGTAATTTATTTTTTATTTTATATATCAGCAAAACATTAGTGAACTCGATACTCTGAGACAACGACGACCGCCCTAAAGACACAAGCAGTACACGGATGGGAGTGTAACGTGTACAATCCAGAATAGCCCGCATTACTTCATTTTGTAGCGAATTACAATACCAAAAAAACCAGGTAGGTCATCAATTCCATCTGTCCGCTGGGTTTTTGAAAGTCAAATGTCGAACGGTTTAAAGCCGCTCGGTGTGTTAAACTCGAGACTATCGAACAAACAGCAGAAACCTTTTAGCGCGGATTGGAATTGTAATTTTCTTCTTCATGTTCAATTCATTAGGCTGTTTATCTCTTGACTTCTCAGCTCGGTCGAGGAAATGGGAGAAAACGCCACTTGATGCTAAGCGGATATTTATGTATGTGCGGTTCCAATCGGAATTTGAGATGATCGGCGGTAATATATGCTGGTTTTGGGTGGTGTGCACATATATTAGACATTCCCCGAAGGTCAGCCTATTTGCATCATGCTTGAAGGTGGTAGATAACTCCAACTTCCATGTTTAAGCCCGGTAGACACGATGCAATTTCCACATGTACGATGGCGGTATGAAAAGTTTGACCATGAAAAACAATGTTTTTAATTTTTTTTCCTTTAATTTTCATTTTCATCAAATTGGTTATACCAGTTTTAAACATACAATCTTCAAACTCCTCAAAATACTGATAACTAACAGCTTCTATGACATCCTCGTTAGGAAACAGGTAACAGTGGCCGGGGGCTAAGTCGGGAGAGTACGAAGGTTGTGGCATCAATTCAAAATTCAATTCATGGATTTTGGTGGAATATTTCGCACACGCAGACATCCTATAGCTTTCAGCTGCCATATGGCACTATATGGCACATCAAGAAGAAAATATACAAAATGGTCTGGGTAGATCTTGGAAATGAATAGTAGTTTCCAAGCTGCTGGAAAGGAGCGGTTTGTTTAACTATAACATCGAAAAAGAGTCATAAAGATGTTGGTGATGACACTAGGAAAACAGTTGTTCAGGAAAAAGTAATGGGGGAGTGCCAGGGAGGATTCAGAGGAAGAAATACCAGTGACCAAATGTTTAACCTTAAAATGATTCAGGCTAATGCGTTAGAGCAAAACATAAATCTGCATTTGTTATTCATAGACTTTAAGCAAGCTTATGACTCTATCGAAGACTGCAAGTACCGAGGAAGATCCAAAGATTAATTAAAATGACTTTGAGTAATACGGAAAACGGTGTGATGGTTGGTAGCCCCCGGTCGGAACGTCTTAAGGTCTGAGACAAGAAGATTCGTTGTCGATTTCGTTGTTTAATCTGGTCTTGGAAAAGGTACTTAGAGATAGTGGAATCGATAGAAAAAGAACAATCTATGATGATATAGGCATCATAGCAAGAGCCAGGAAAGAGCTAGAAGTTATATTTATATATAAAAACTGTAAAATATTATAAGAAAAACAGTTTCGAGGATGTTTATCAATTTGAGTATTTAGGAGTACGAAACGATGATGTACGGTGATGAACAGGCAAGAAGAACAGAAATTAGCAATCTAGGAAAGAAAAATCTTAAGGAAAATCTAAGGCGGTGTTAAAGTAAATGAACCGGATTGCAGAACTAAGCAGAACTAACGAAGAAATAAAACCACATATAACAGAGGAGTGAAGAAGCAGAGGCTACGCTGATTAGGGTATGGAGTGCGTATGAATGGGGGTAGATAGGTAAAATAGTATATTATGCAATAAGTGCGGTCAACGGCATTTGATTCAGCGGAGCGAGTGTTTAATAAATGAGTCTTAAACATGTTGTATACTATACATTTTCTATGACCGTTAGTTTTTGGGTACATTTTCTCAAAACGACACGAATATGTTCACTGACCTGACCGTCAGAATTGACAAACGTCAAAATTCAAACCGTGTGGTAGAACATCCGATTGCTCCCAAATCCGTGTGGTAATGTCCGAAGTGGCTCGGATCCGTGGGAAACAAAACTGACGTGATAAAGAGACGCTTCCCGCACGCTAGATCGGTGTTTAATTAAGTATTTTACAGACGGGAGTAGAAAAGGAAATTGAAGAGAGCGGATGGATGAAGAAGAAGGAGACGCCACGAAAAAGGTGGAAGACAAAAGACAAAGACGTAGAAGTCACGGGCCTTCTGTGCATGTAGCACTATATAATTCCATTCCAAATTAATTTTATTTTTTCACCAGGATCTGCGTTCTACGCACTGCGTGTTTTGGCATATTTTCATTTTCTTTCTAGTCCCAACTAGTCTACGAAAATCGCGAAGTCTCCCTGATCGAATTGTCGACCACTGTTGTTTGCTTTATTTCAAATAGGCGCGTTCAAAAATAGCACCTGCAATCAGTAATGCAATGCTGACTCGCAAACCGCTAACGTATCGACTGGTGGCTCGCCTTTTGTGCGAAGTGGATTAAAAAGCGCCCGGGGTCGATTTTTATTATTTCCCGCGCTGCACTGTGGTCCCGCCTGCGGTCATGTACCCAAAAAGGGCATAATTTTATTTTGCCGTAAAAACTCGTTAAGTGTCTCCAAAAATGTCTAATTATGATTATTATAAAAGAAAATCCGATATTAACTAGTCTCTATGGATGACCAACAGGGAAATAACAAAAATTCTCATTAAAATAATTAAAGAAGAAAAGATACTTTTAGAGTGGAATAAAAGTTTGATTACATTAATATTTAAAAAAGGAGACAAGGAAAGCCATCGAACTATAGGGGAATATTATTGCTAGATACAATATCGAAAATTTTCACCAAAATCATAGCAGAAAAACTAAGAGCAACAGTCCCGATATGCGAAGAACACCAAGGGTGTAGAAAGAACAGATCAAAAAGTGGAAAAGTCAATAGAATACAACAACCCTATCTTCATGTGTTTCGTGGACCTAATAAAAGAGTTTGATAAAACACGACTTAATGCCATAGTATTCTTACTTAAAGAAAAAAATGTACCTCTTAAAATGATAAGAATCATAGAAGCACTGAATTACAACTGATCCACTAAAATAAAAGCTGAAGGAAAGGTATCTGAAGAAATAAAGGTAAACACAGGAATTAGACAAGGAGACAGTTTACGTCCGCTGACAGATGATAAGATGTAAGCCGGAGATAGAGGGGAAGTAATGTCATCAAGATATTTAGGAGTAGCCACCGAGATATTTACCAAGAGACGATATACCAAGTAAGGAAAGCAGCAGCCACAGCAGGTGCATTAACGGATATAGTGTGGAGAAATAAACATCTAGAAACGAAAACAAGAATCTATTAAACATGTATAAGACGTATACGTATGCCATAGAAACAAGAGCCGATGCAAAGAAAACATAACAAGGGCTAAGAGCAACTGCAATGGAAACATTAAGATGCATAATAATATTCAAGACATAGTAAGATGGGGACGAGAGAGAAAAAGCACATATTAGCAAAGATCACAAGAGATGGAAAACCCCATGGGAAAAGATCCAGAGGAAGACCACAAAAAAGATGGCAAGATAGCTGGTCATCAGAATCACAAATAAGATTAAATATTACTCAGTAAACACAAGTCATTGGACTTAACGCAGGAATAAGAAGAAGAACAAGAAAAAAGTTCTCGATTTAACTAGTACCGAATGCCACAATTTCCTTAAAGAAAATTGACGAGCAGATTTGACTTCTTCAATTTTTTTTAGTCCGCCACATTAACGATATTGTTATATGATATATGCTAAAAAGAGTTTTCTTTTTGTTTTTTTTTAAGTGTACATCGAATGAAAAAAATCAAAAAATCAAATTTCTTTAGAAATAATTGGAGATTGTAAGAACAATCTAGGAGAAATCAATGGGATACCATCAATGTCTTCCAAAACGTTTAAAGTGGTATTATAGATATAAAAAAAATATGTTTTATTTAGTATCTTAAAAGTTGAGAAGATTAGGAGGTATGTTCACATGAAGTTTTCTTTTTAAAAGGGACCTAAAAATCGCTCCCTTCATTCAATTAAAAACACCCTCCATAAAAAAAACTTCCATTAGACATATTCAGCAACTTCCATCGTGTTTATCTACTAGTAACTCCGAAACTGTCTCCCCGCTTGTCTAATAGCCAACAACGCACTCCGTTTTACATTTAGTCGAGGGAAAAAAACTGGAGTGTCGCTATTGTCTCCGTCTCACAATTGATAATTGAAAAAGGCAATTCCCGTCAGAGTTGCCTTATTTACCCAACGTTTCAGAGTAATTACCCAGCACTCGATCGTACTTTGTCGTATTACGCGAGGTTTCTTTTGTCACGTGTCCGCGGCGAGACGATCGAGCTTAGTTTGAGAAAGTGACGGAAGATGTCGTCTTATCGGTTCAAAAACGTCAGTCTGCTTACCTTTCAAAGCTGGACATATCCGTTTCCATATGGTAAGGCAGCCGCTTCTGTGAAATTGTCCTAGCGCTAGTTCCATATAAAACAGCGGAAGACCGCCGAAAATGAGCATTATCGTGTACGGAATGAGAAAGGCACCTGGAACAAAAATTATAGATGATATGTCAAGATAAGTCAAAGAAAACATTTATATATATATATATATATATATATATATATATATATATATATATATATATATATATATATATATATATATATATATACAGGGTTATTCACTTAAAACTCCGCACGCCAATAAGTCCAAAACGAAAAGAAATATTTAATTTATGTAAAAAGTGGTCAAAGTGTGGGGTCAAGTAGATATTTCCTAAAGTTTAAAAAATTCGACGCCTGCAAAGAGCTGGGCGTCGCGACGCGTCGAAAAATTATTCGATTGCAGAGACTTTGGAAATACGCGCATACAAAAGTACATATTATTTAAAAACTTTTTTGTTATTTACTCAAACTTATTTACTTTACCCGTTTCTAAGTTATACCGATTTAAAATAAACATTCCTTGATTAATAAAAAATGTTATTAACGCTTATTTTTACAAGTAAGCCATGAATGTTAGTTACTATGGCAACCATTGTTATGGCAGTTGTTTTAAGTGCAATTACAAACAATAGATTTCAACTATTTTAGTATGATTTTATTTATTATTTTTTATCGATTTAGTTCTGATAACATGATAAATAAGTGAAAAAACAGCAAAAAAACCTACAAGTTAATAACCAAAATTATTATTGCAATTAAGTACATAATAAGACATTTCAAAAATTTTGTTCAAAATTATGTCCATCTGCTCGAACACAACTATCAAAAACTTTTAACAGATGAGCTTGGGTCACTTGTAGGAGAGTCCTTCTTGTGATAGCGGCACACGCTGTACTAATTTTGTTAATGAGATCAGCCATATCTTCGATAGGTTCTTCATAGATAACGTTTTTTAGGTCGCCCCAAACAAAATAATCCGGTGGTGTAATGTCCGGGGACCTCGCCGGCCACCTTACCGGTCCATTAGTACCAAACCATCTATTGGGATATTCTCGGTTCAAATACCTCGTTACTATTTGGGCATTATGTGCAGGCGCTCCATCCTGCTGTAGCCACATATTCATTCTAGTGTCAAAAGGCACTTCTTCTAATAGTTCCGGAAGTGTAGTTTGAAGAAATCTTAAATAGCGATCTGCATTTAAAGTTCTTTCGTAAAAGTAAGGTCCAATAAGGAATCCATTTAATATGCCGCACCAAACATTGATACTAAAAATTCGTTGGTTACCTCTTTCTGTAATCCAACGAGGATGGTTTTCGGACCAAAAACGACAGTTGTGTCTATTAACGATTCCATTATTTTGAAATCGACTTTCGTCGCTCCATAAAATTTTCGAGAGAAAATTTGCATCTTGGCTATACAAATCGGACAATGTCGCTAAGAAATACATTCTTCTAGCATAATCGCCTGGTTCTAGTTTATGAACTAGTTTACTTTTGTACGGGTGAAAAGAGTTTCTATGTAGAATTCTCCACGAAGAACTTATGGTAACACCGGTATTTTCTTTTATCTCTGATAGGGATATCTTGGGGTTATTATCAACCTGCTGAATTACAGCAGCAGTATTTTCATCATTTGTAGCCGTCCTGTTCCTATCTCTTTTAGGTTTTATGAAGCTGCCATATTCTCTTAAGTTTTTACATAAACTTGAAAAGGTTTTTGCATCGGGGACTCTTCTATGCGGATAACGCCGTGCGTAAACTCTTTTTGCTTCTCTACAATTGCATCTGCATTCTTCAAACACCAGTAACATGTCTACTTTTTCCTCATTGCTAAATTGCACCATTTTCATATAATAATTCTTAGTTTTTTTTTAACCGAACAAATTTGGATATTTCTTGTGACAAAATGTGACAATTTTTTGATACAGCAATAACAACTTACGTTTGTAATTGCACTTAAAACAACTGCGATAACAGTGGTTGCCATAGTCCAACATTCATGGCATACTTGTAAAAATAAGCGTTAATCACATTTTTTATTAATCAAGAAACTTAGAAACGGGTAAAGTAAATAAGTTTGAGTAAATAACAAAAAAGTTTTTAAATAATATGTACTTTTGTATGCGCGTATTTCCAAAGTCTCTGCAATCGAATAATTTCTCGACGCGTCGCGACGCCCAGCTCTTTGCAGGCGTCGAATTTTTTAAACTTTAGGAAATATCTACTTGACCCCACACTTTGGCTACTTTTCACATAAATTAAATATTTCTTTTCGTTTTGGACTTATTGGCGTGCGGAGTTTTAAGTGAAAAACCCTGTGTATATATATATATATATATATATATATATATATATATATATATATATATATATATATATATATATTCCCGTATTGATTCACGGATGGAAAAATGTGATGCATCCAATCCATAGTGTGTTGACATAGTCGATTGACATATTTTCGTGAAGTTACTATCATCCATTCATTGTTAACTTTAGATATTTTTAATGTCCAGATAAGACTACCACCAACTTATTAGCCAATCCTGTCAAACGAAATTCAATATGGCGTCCTAGGATAAACAAACAAAGGAAATTACTTTATATAAGCAAAACCGTATGTTTTTAGCAAATGATGTTATTTTGTGTCTGTTGAAGGTATTTATGCGTTTTCTTAATTATAAAAGTTTATTATTTTATGATTTTAAAATGTATTTTGCTTTTCTTAGCTCTTGTGCAAAAACACAGGTCGAAAATGCCTACAACTTGTGTTGCGGTTTGTTGTGGAAATACGTTCAATGCACGATCAAGCCAGTTTTTTTGCAGTGCTACACAACAAACAGCTTTGAAAAACTGCAATCGACAAAGGTACTAGGAAATGTTTTGGAACAGATATGAATTTTATTGGAAAATCTACTCGAACGGACCTAACCATGGTTGAGTTGCATCTAAAATTGGAAGAGCTTAGTTTAGCAGTCAAAAAATTGAAGATTTGGGACAAAAATTAGAAAAATCTCCATTTGCTTTGACGACACATCAAATATAAACAAATGGAAACGTCATAGTGGCTCTGAATATGGCGTGGTTTATTTGTTAATATTTGAAAGCGTAAAGGTATATGTTATTATGTAAAAGTTAATCAATTTACAAAGCCTGAGTCCCCACTGTAAAGATTTAGCAAATCATTTTAAAATTTGTATTTTCCAGTATTCACAAAAGTGTGAGCTGCAAAGAACAACATTTTTTATGTAAAATAAAATTTCAATCATTCACACAAGTTATAATGATATAACGAAGTAAGGTATAATTTATTTTGAAAGATCTATTTTGAATCGGAACATTTACCCAAGAGTTCTGGGATTATGACTTCAGCATGGTACTGGAAACCATTTTTTCTATTCCCTTCTACACCGAATACCACGGTCAGTAAGCAAAAATCTGCAACACGTTCAATAAACTTTAGAGTCAAATGCAGTTTACGCACTTGTTGCATGGTATACTATGGTGTTGTGTTTTCTGTGAGTTATATTATACAATTTTTTTTTTCATTGCTCACGCGTGAATAGATCCATTAGTTTCAGAAATATTTATTGATAAATTATTTCTAAAATGTATTTGTTTATAACGTAATTGTTAAATGTGGGTACAAAATATTTCTGCCATGCAACTAAATTGCTTTTCGAAAATAACGTTCTTTCAACAAGCTATGCTGTACATTTCATTATTTTGTTTGAAAAGTTTTATGAAAATATCGTAGGAGAAAAAAACGTTTCTGAATAAAAAATAAAATTAAAAATGCATATTTTCGAATGTCATCACATAAGTTTCTCCTTAAATTTAGTTAAGAGAAATGATACACGCATCTAGTCTAATTTAATTCATTAAAAAAAAAACAAAAGGTATTTTTGCTTTTAAGACACAAATTGAAAGATATACATACATACGATTTTCAATTTTTGTGCCAAAATGCCCATCCTAATTATCACTTGAAACTTCCATTTCCATTGTGAATGAGATCAGAATAGGATGAAATGAAATTTTATAAAATGTCTGTATTGGAAGCCAACGAATGGGTAATCTGTTGCGAATGTACCCGGGATTAAAATAAATAACGCGCTTTTGTTAAAAATCGCCTGCGCAAAAATTTTTGATAAGGGGATTTCGCAAAGTGTGTCGGACGTTGTACAGGAGGCTTCAGCGATAAGGGGATACCGACAGAAAATGTATTTTTATAAGTGGCGCGGTCCGACCCGGCTTTCGGGGCAAAAATTGCAGTGTACAGGGTGTTTCAAATTCGACGCCGGGATTTCGGAAACGGTAAGAGATACGAGTAATTCCGAAAAAAATACTGATTTTTCAATTTTGGTTTCTCCCAGCTCTATTTGTTGAGATAAGTCAAAATGAAAAACACATTTTCTGCTCTACAGCTCAGTATGATTGAATATTGACGTTTCGGCTTCTGGCAACCATTATAAAGTTATTTTATTTAAATACGAACGAGAGGAAAAATAGTACCTATTTGTAACCTATAGTACCAACTACCTATCTGCCCTACCTCAGTACCCGACAGCTTCATTGAAATTCGACTTGACCAGAGATCTAGCAATAGATTTCTCGATATGTGGCTTGAAGCTGAAAGTATGAGACACACTAAAACCCTCTTTTAGGGGCCGTGCAGGACTCTTGCTTCCAGCTTCCAACTGGACACTGGTCAACAAGAAAGCATCTTAAGAACATTGACATCATACAAGACGCATTATGTCAAGCGGATGAAACTCCTTTGCATGTACTTGTCGACTGTAAACCACTCAGCGAACTCCTAAAAGAAATTCTCCGAGTGGACACAGCATTCAGTATCAGCATTCTGGAAGTGGGTGTTGGAAGGCCGATTCGCTATGCCTCGGCAGTCGGTCTCTACGCTCCCTCCTAACTCACGAATTGTCCTTCACAGGGCCTGGACACAATGGCACAAGCTGAGCGCCCGGCTCAAATGAAGTCAAATTAATATATATTTTTTAATATTTTCAATTCATTAATTTATAAATAACCCATAATTCACTGTCCTAGGCTTGAAATAAAAAAAAAACAATTTTTGGCAC